GTTAAGGAGCCAATTTCCCAGAAAGCAGGAGGATAAACAGTGGTAATATACGATTAAAGTTTTGTAAAACTTTAAACCTATTGTAGGTTTATAACCTGTTAACGTATAATTATAAACATACTGCGCTCCGAATTGCTTCAGCTAACACATCGACGATGTTCAAACAAATATTAATATTATACATGTATCACCCTTTTATTTTTTTTTATTTATCTAAAACTGAACGATCATCGAAAAAGCAGAACTTTTAGATTAGTTTAATTTGGTAACTGCAGCTCACGTTTTACCCACCTTTTTAATTCTCAGAATGACACCAAGTTATCCTGTGCTGCGTTACTAAAGTAGTTTTATAGCAGCTAAACTTTTTGTTGTTCCTAACCTTTATACAGTGTGGCGAATGATATGCTGTGTACTCGAGGTACCACCTTGTTTAGCCTCGTTACAATTATGAGTGGTACCTCGTTTACTCTGTGACGGATATAATAATGATCCTCCTTCTTTCTCAATTTCTCCTTGTTTTATTAATCAATGTTTAGCCATGAGTTTGGCTCAATTTAACTTGTTTTCCGTTATTGTTTGATGCATCTTACCAAATAAAAGGACTAAGCATGTGTTATGTGAATGTAAACCTGTTAAAGAACAACAGTACTTATCGCTCCGCCTAGTTATAGTCTAGATATGCCTATTACACAAACAGGACATAGATATACTATGATATAATAATGAAAGCCAATGATGTCAGCTGTCTCTCTCAGAGGATCAGCTCTCAGATCCTACCTTCTTTGTCGGTGTTTAATAACGACTGTCAGACTTGAGTCTTTACTTGAGTCCTGTCTGTCAAAGAATTTATTGGGTCTTTAATATCCTGATGAATTAAACCTCACTTCCCACGCACCACCTCCTCGTCTCATACCTATTGAATTATTCATACTAAGACTTCGATCATGCCACATCTTAATGCAGCTTTATTTGCGCTGGAATTTGAAGCTTGTTTTCTTGCTGGGGTTATACATTCTCCAAGTTTAAACCCACACGTGCCCGCTGTCTATCTAATTAGTGATTACAATAAGTTATTTATTTTGTTTGGAAATTGTATTTAGAGTTCTTTGGTAATCCTTGCAATGATCGTGTAGTTAAGTTTTTAGCACTTTAGCGGTATGTATATTGTATACGCATACCATGAATGACATTGGACGACTGTGATTATGGACGACTTTGCGATGGATGATCACGTACATTTTGATATTTCATCTCATGAATTTTAATCTTATATGACGGCTTAAATGAACGGACTTTATTTGAACGGACATTAAGATGAACGTTAGGGCGTTCAATTAATATCCGTCCAAATAAAGTCCGATAAGGTAATTATCAGTGTACAGTTAATATATGAGAAAGACCATAAACCAGCGATTCCTTCGGGAGCATGTAGGATTATATCCAAAGTTTTTTCGCCAATGGGGTGTCTGGGTGTCAAAGATCTTCAAGGTGGGTGCTACTTTTGATGAACTCTATACTAGAAGGATGGAATGATAATACTCGGTCTGGCCGTCTGGAAGCGCGAAGCTTATGAATTCCAGTTCAGAAACCGAGTAAGGAGCTAGGTGCGGCTAGTGGCTACTGATGAGAATCCTCTTTAGAGTTTATTCGGGTTAGAAACGACATCTGGGTCCCTACCCTCGTACGTGTGCACAAAATTATTCTCAATTTTCTTCTTGTGTTCCACAACTGTATTTTATCAATTACCATATTATGAACCGACCGGATATCCGGCTGAGGGGAGGCCTGCCTTCCGAGATTGCATTAATAAACGGAAAAACATCACTGAAATCTTATAACCTATACGGATACCCTGGGCGAGACTGAATTTAAATAGTTTCTCCAATATAAAACTGATTTATAAATTGGAACAGCCCTAAAGCGCTTAGTACTTAAAAAAGTCTAGACTTTAATTCTATTTTAATTGTATAATATAGATATAATTATCTGCGTACCCAGGAATTTATAAAAACTGCGAAATCTTGCAGCTTCGAGAAATTGAATTACCACAATGATATCAGAGTCAACGAAATGATATCAGAGTCAACGAAAATAAATTCCATGGAAAAAGCGCATAATGAATCGCTAATGATAGCGGAAACTGGAAAAAGGACGGTCAAGCAAAACCCTTGCAAATCTGATCGAAGATATTCTCTCTAAGGTTGGCTCTTGACTCTTTTAAAGGGCAAGAGTCTTGCCCTTTAAAAGATGTATCAAGTGATGATTTAGAACGGCTTTATTAGTTATTTTAGTGTCTAGAGTTGAAATTTCCGACGTCCGTTATTTATATTGTACATATGATAGAAGATATTAGTTATAATGATTAAGATGTTACAAAATACCAAAAGTAAGAGCACCCAGCTGTGGTACACAGGCCCTAATTAGAAAAAGGTAATTTTATAACCACAGATCTCTCTAAACTGCACCCGAACAGTCCGATAACATGATATACATTTGTACTCGCCCCAATAACTGTGGTGTGTGTACATAAGTTCAGTCATTGATCTGGTATGTATTCAGTAATGTATGAATTGTATGATGTAATTACATGATGTTCCCTATACATATGTTATTGTTAACCTGCTCTGCTTAGTGCTTACCCACTCCAGGCCTTGAATCACGATCACACGCGGTATTTCCGTGACGTCACGTACCGACTAATAAGGTGCATATTTTCACAAACTTGTGATTGAATTTCTTTCTGTTTAGACTTTAGTCTCATCTATTATTTTGTTACCTCCGCTAAGCCTGCTGTATATTGTGTAGTGTACGTGTGGCCACTGGTCCTATTACTCCAACCAGATGATCTCGTGTCTCAATGTCCCTAGTGTTTCACTTCCTCTCCAGGGTCCCTAGGCCCTTATACCACCACTCTGTCCTTATGGCTTAGAGTCCAGCGACTTCCTGTCATTAGCGCCCTACTACCTTAGTACCTTCCAGAGCCCTACTTTACCGCCGATTGAAGGCAGGATAGTACAAATTAACAAGTATCAGACAAACTAAGCTGGAGTGTGACGTCATGCACATTCCTCGCTCTCCTCCCCATCACATACTTCAGTTTGTTTATCTTATATTCAGAAACGAGACGGCGTGTGAATTCTATTCGATTGTCGGTGTACGTTTGTGTGTATGTGTGAGACGCTGTGCTGCTCCTACGTAATATGGGCTATTGTTAGTGTCTATTTACTTAACAGTTTTCTCACAGGTTCTTGTTTGCTCTCGTACGCTTGGCTCAGAGTGCACTTCCTGTTACATACCGGGCTCATTGTAACCATGTGACATATGTCCCATGAGATAATTGATAAAACTGATCGATCGTTTGACACTCATTTTTCGTTTGTTAGTTCATTTTTCTGAGCTGTTCCTTTTGTCTCTCTGAGCTGCTTGAGCTGCTTGATCATCAGTTACGGGCAACCTTAATATTTGTTTTTGTATGTAACCGACAGTCAAATCTCGACTGGACCGTCCTAAAATAAGACTTGCAAAACACTCAAATTTAATATTTTTACTTTAAATATGAGCTGTAATTATAATGATGATCATGGTGAAATTGAATTTGCAGAGGCTTAGATTATGATATTCACGGAGGCTGTTTTATTTTTATTGACGTCACAAGACTAAGAAATAAAATGCAAAACTGTCTAACTTTTGGTTTACGACGGACTCGCAATGATTTGCTGATCTTATTTTAAAATATTGACCGATCACATTATAGTTTATAACCCGCTTGCTAGATAACGTCTTTAATAAGAGCAACTTGTATTCCACTGAAATATCCTTCTAACTTTCTAACAGTTAGCGACCAGCGCTATCCCAACCAAGTCACTCACCATGACCTCATCACTTAAACAGCTCATCGATCTCTACATCAACCTTTCGTGTGTTAGTTCATTTTCCTTTGTCTTTCAGAGATAAGTTGCTTAGATCGCTGTAAGTTACGGGTTTTCTTATCATTCGTTGCTGCATTATGTTTTAACTTTTACCCACGTTCACTGGACTGTTTCGTTATAAGGAATTAATTTTATATTTGTAACTTATAATAAAATGTCTTGAGATATGACTATGAAAATCACATTAAAATGAATATAAGCGTTGTTTTTTGATATTTACAAAGGCTGTAAATCAAAATTGATTTACACCTGCCAGCATATAAATTACTTGTGACAGTTCAGAAGCTTCTAGTACAAACCAGTTAAATATGCTACCTAACCTCCCGTATAACAGCTAGTGGCTGATAACAGTTAACGTTATTGTTATTCTTGTTACTGTAGTGATGGAGCTTCCTTCAGACCAATTTACTGTGGTCACATCTGACGTTTCCTACCACTATATACCAGCTATTACTAGTTTATATTATAATACCTGTGATCACATCGGACGCTTAATGTTACAGTTCATATACCGCTATATTATAGTGATTACATAAGGCTCTAGAGCTATTGTTACCATACACTATCCGTGTAACTGTTAGATTACTACGGTAAAGTTTTAGTAACGTTCTGTGACGGGAATATTTCTGGCAGTACTGATCCATATAATGGTCGTGGAGCCTCATTTGCCGAGCGTCAAGCACATGTTAATTGCTTGTGATCTCACTTTACATGATACTTAGTAATTCAGTGTCCGTCTCTTTTTTGGTTTTACCTGCAATTGCTGTTCGTTTTATATTGCTTGTCAATCTGAATCAATGTCCCTTATTCCCCCAGTATGTTTTTAAGGGCGGTAGTCGTGTTGTTGTGGATTGTAAATTCACTACAACTACAAGGATGTGTGCGGTCGTTTTGTTGGTTTTATGAATTTAACAGGAAAGCCACATCAGCCTTTGTTCAGTGTTTGTGAGTGCACCTTTGTTGTCATTGTTACCAGTACAGTGGGAAACATTCTCAGCTGGCTACGTCTTTACCTGCAGCTAATTTATCTAAATAGATGAGTCGAGACACTTTATATTAATTACAGAATCAGCAGGGGTCCATGTTACACTGAGACACAACTTCTTCGCTCCAGACAACGGTCACAGACACAACATTGGTAATCTCTCACTGAAGCCTACATCTTCTGCTGAATCACTTCTCTTCCTCTCAATTCAATTTATAGGAGTTTTATGCGACTTCACACTTCTTTACTTCTAGCGTAAGTAGTTTAACTTTAGCAAGTTCTGTTTATCATGCTGTGTAAGGATTGTGATTTCTCCTGAATTTGTCTTATCCAGTTAGGATATTAATTTGCTGTGATGAATTTGCTTTGGGATCGTAAATTACATGTTTGTTATCGAATTATAATATGATAAAAGTCTATAGCGGATTGTAATCATTTCCCAGGCGTTTATGAAAGTTTTTCTGAAATTCCGTATTCTTCGTAATTCGATCTCAAGTGCGTTTTAGTCACTTACACACGTAACTGTAGTTAAAATGCCGAACGGGTAAACGATGTGTGGACGTTTTTAAAAATATTCATAAATTCATATTATATTCTGTATGCTGTATGCGGTAGGGTATGCAGTATTCAGCTATGATATATACTGAGGACAGAGTATAAGATACACCTACGGTTGCGGGAACCGGAGGACCTATTTACTAAGTCATACTCAAACTCCATATTATATCTTAAGATGATACATTTTCATGTAGACCGTGCATAAATAACGATGCATATAGGATTCTATTCCGCTATATACTACTCCGGACGCTTCATACTAAAAGTATCTATTTTCAGGTTTACCATATTCATACTTCTGAGGCAGAATACAGTAAAATGTAAGTACTCACTACTCACTATGTATAACCTATAAGGTATGCTTCTATTTAAAAACGTCTCTAGTGGAAATGGTTGCATAAACAGAATGCTCAGTTATAGAAACTGATAAGAATAGCTGATAACTCGGACCCTATTTCAATCTATTACTCCGGGTTTACAGGTCAAGATAACACTGATGACACTGAAACGGCGGATGAGGATACTGGACCCAAATGTACTGTTCCCACAATACAAAACGGACAGATAGGGAACGCTAACTCCGTCGACGAGGAGATCAGCGAGTCAACCGCTTTCGAAGTCTTCTGTGACTCCCAGTAAGTTATAGAGTTACGCGTGTGTGTATACCGTGTATACTACCGTGTATACAGTGTATACCGTGTATACCGTGTATACCGTGTATACCGTGTATACCGTATATACCGTGTATACCGTGTATACCGTGTATACCGTGTATACCGTATATACCGTGTATACCGTGTATACCGTGTATACCGTGTATACCGTGTATACCGTGTATACCGTGTTATCAGCTTGACAATATGGCAAAAACCGGACATATTGACAAATGGTTATGCTCGTTGGTTTACTCGGTATATAACGTAACCTTTTCCTAGCTTTAGTACCCTGCCATGTTCACTGCTCTAACTTCCTCCCAGACCCGGTTTCTGTGTTCCAGTAACCCATTTTATCTGTTACAGGTATCAGTTAGGGAGCAGTTCGGTTGCTAATGTACCATGTGTAACTGGTCAGATGCCGTCATCGTGTCGAGGTTCGTTTATATTCTAACTGTTTCAGTCACTATGTTCAAATTAGCGACAGATGTAGAAAGAGTATAAGAGTTACTAGTTACTAGTAGGTATATCAATTGATGCTATGGAAACTTACCCTGCTGTTCCATTAACATCGTGGTTTAGCGGCCACCTTGACACAGTTTACTTCGATGGTTCAAACTTCAAAGCCCAAAATACTTCTTAAGAACTAGCAGGATTTGTATAAGGTGCAGTTTTATTTGGTGCTCAACCCCACTGCACCCCCAAACCGCTGACACAGCTCAATTATCAACCTCCGGCCTACATGTTGCAGCCCCACCCTCATTGTCGCAATAGTTACCCTCAATGTACTGTGCCGCAATTGTGTTGTGTTATTAACAATATACTGCAGTTGTGTTATTAACTTTTGTGGATATAATTCATACGAATGAGCTCGTTAGAACACTGACTCATTGTTCCACATGGTCATACTACTTATGGTCTCCTCCTAGTCGTTGGAGTGGCCTGCACCATGCGGTAACTCCTTTCTCCGGTGTATTAGACATCTCCAGCGAACCTTGTCTGTTGCTTGTTGTTCTGCATCTTCTATCGTGATGTTATCGACACCTGTGAAGATAGCTGCATCCTCCCGGACAACTAATTAGTGTAATAAAAGCAGTCGGCTAATATGTAAACTACGAACAAGTTAAATCGTAACTTATCAGATAGAAAAGGTGGTATTAAATAGATAAGGTGTGTATACTGTGTAAGTTTTAACGTAGTGGTAATTAGGCTGAACTCGTCTCGTATAAAATTAACAACATTGGAAATAGTGTCAGTTAACTGGTGGTTATGAGGGCCGATGAGGGCATATGGAAGACTATTGTTCTTAAAGTTGACAACTTGGGCATTACAGGAATTTCAATCAGTGTTTGTTTATTGGTATTGACTATTGTGTAATACTGATGTGCCTTTATCTCTCTAGTCTTCCCGTTGTTAGATTTTTTTGCGTTATGAGGCCCCTTCCAGCCATTGCCACTGCGAATTTAACCTAAAACCTGCCCAGTTAATAGCGAAGACTGCGAAATTACCACTCCTGCCTAGTAATCTAATTTACCCTGTCCAGATCAGCAGTATATTACACTAAATCCGCAGGTTTTCTCTTAATTTTTTATGTCAAAACCTGCCTAATTAACTAGTGATCCTGCATCAACAGCGCAGGTATTTGTTATTTGGCAGGTTTTCTATTAACTTGGCAGGATTTGCTATAAAATTATCAATCCTTTCCGGATGGATTACGGCAGTGATAAAGTTAAATCGGCAGGTTTTCCATTAACTTGGCAGGATTTTTTATAAAATTATCAATCCTTGCCGGATAGATTACGGCAGTGATAAAGTTAAATCGGCAGGTTTTCCATTAACTTTGCAGGATTTGTTATAAAATTATCAATCCATGCCAAATAGATTATAATGCTTTAATCTTATTATGGCAGCGTTAAATTTATAAATTGGCAGGTTTCTTTTATCTTTCTTTTAAGTTCTTAAGTTATTTGGAATTTTGCTTATTTGGCACCAAAACTAAAAGTCAATAAAACCGAGTTGATTAGCGCAGTCAAGAAATTGGCCGGAGTTGATAAAAAGCTGACAACCATGGCACTGAATCTCCAAATGAGAGGTATAGTACGCTATATACTTATATAGTACGGTACCGCAACAATTGACCCCCTCTCCCCCCCCCCCCCCCCCCCCTCCGACAAATGACCCCCTGATGCAATCTACCCCCGACAATTGACCCCCCATGTAATTACACTGGGGTCAATTCAGGGTTAGGGTAAGGGTTAGGGTCAGGGTTAGGGTCAGGGTTAGGGTCAGGGTTAGGGTCAGGGTTAGGGTCAGGGTTAGGGTCAGGGTTAGGGTCAGGGTTAGGGTTAGGGTCAGGGTTAGGGTCAGGGTTAGGGTCAGGGTTAGGGTTAGGGTTAGGGTTAGGGTCAGGGTCAGGGTTAGGGTCAGGGTTAGGGTTACTGGGTAACACGACTCCTGTCAGCGACATTTGTCCGACAGCGACATCTGTCCGACTCAGGGTACCAGAAAAAACGACATTTGTCCGAAATTGTGATCTGATTTCAATACAACACATTTCCAATTAGAGACGTGATCTGAACTGTTAATTTGAATACGTAACATTGCCAATTTGAGATATGATCTGAGCCATAGTGTACTACTAGTTTATTTTCGACCTAGGCAGGCAGGCATGAAGCAACTGCGTTGTGAATGGCGAGCTCGTAGTCCATGAGAATGTATTGTGGTTGGTAGCCCCAAGGCCTCAGAAGCCCAGGTGTCTATCTCCATGAACATGTTGCGGTAGAGGGTCGTCGATTTTCCAGGAATGAGTCCTTAGAAGAGGGGGAGGTGCCAGCCGTCAGGGAAGAGTCCGTGGACTGTGAAGAGCTGATGGAAGAGATTAGGTGCGGATTTGAAGGTACCGTTGGGCGTTGACTACGCAATGCTCCGCGTCCACCATATGATCTGCGTTCTTAGGAGTCCCCCAAAGGAATGATCGACGAGTCTGTTCGTCCCATCCAGAGTCCCAGAGCATCATTGGACTGTTGTCGGTAGAGAGGATTTAGTTTGCAGGAATGGATAGCGTTTCCAGATCTCTCGGGTCTGTTTGCTGCAGATCTGGGTCTGTTTACTGAAGATTGGTTGCCATTGTGGATTGCGATAACTAATCTCCATACGGCTGCTATCCTATATGTACTCATGTAGGCTGTGTCCTGTGATGTGATCGACAGCTTGTTAGTGTACGGCTAGCACAATCCTGTCCTTAAATAGTCAATCACGTATCGATGGATCAGATCTCAATGGATCAAATCAGCATTCGAACAATGGGAGCAACGTCACGAAATTACCCGTGAGTTTGTGAAATACGAATGTGAACCGAAATTACAATATGATCCGAAATTCGGACAGATGTCGCCAAAAACGACTCCTGTCCGACAGCGAAATCTGTCCGAAATCCCCAATTCGGCTGTCGGACAGATGTCGCTGTCGGACAGATGTCGCCCAATCGGGTTACTGTTAGGGTTAGTATAATAAATATATTTGTTTGGTCAATTGTCGGGGGGGGGGGGGGGGGGGTCAATTTTCAAGTATTATATCACTTGCACCGTTTAGCTCCACGTGGTTTCTTAAGCTTAAATACGTAACTGTCCTGTCAAGATAAAGTAAATCACTATCACCTCTCATTCTTAATAAGTTAGTGAGCAAGCATCTGATCATTTTAAAACAGTCACCTCCCAATTTAGCAAGTTCTTACATCTATATTACAGTCTACACCCTTCAATAATGAGATAATATGTTTGGCCGGTAGAGGGTCCGCAGTAGTCCCATTACAGCATTACCTCATTACCTTAGCATTGCTGTACAGTGTACAACTACTATAAGAGTATAAGATATACATCCTTCACCAAAACTGGTTTGTCCGCTTTCTATTACTAATTTTCCGCTGAAAGTGCCACATCAGTGATCAATTAATATTGGTAAATAGCAATAATTTGAGTTATAGGTTGACCTCCCACTTAGAGCATATGTGGGAGGTCAACCTATAAATTATAGTACGAGCTATTTCCAATTCGTGAATACGAATTTCGATTAAGGTCCAACTTATTAAGTGTCACTTTAACGTGTGACAAATTTCCGATCAAATATCTCATAATCTGAAAATAACTGCATATTTAGAACTATTATATTAATTGTAATTGAAGATTCTTTCAGAATCACTTCATTCACTAAATCTTACAATGTGAACAATGAACAGGTAGAGGCACTGCAACTGAAAAAGTGCTGTCCTCACTACTTAAGAACATAGCAATCTAATCTAAAAATGGCAACCTAAGAACTGAAGTTAAGCAAACAGTTATTTTCCAATAATCGGTTTTTATATGTACTTTTATACTCAAACTTATCATAGACCCCGTGTTGGTAACAGTGGATAATATGCAGTGGCGAAACGTACCTAAGAGGCCGCAGCTGCACCCCCCCCATCCCCTTCCGCATAGCAGGGGTTGCCGGAGTGTCGGGCGGTCGTTTCGCCACTGACTAGTGACTGCATGTATAAAAGTATAAACTATAGAGCCATGTAGGCATGTAGCATTCTGTACTTCTGTAGCTTTGCACAAACCAAGTCTCAGTCCTACACCCTACCTAGTAATAAGGTTATACGATCATTACAGTATTCCACATTGTACACTCAAATTATCCAAAACCCCTGCCAATATAGGTTTAATCACGCCACAAGTTGATTCAAATTATCTCAACTTACGCAGGATTTGCGTTAAATCTGCAGCATTCGACTTTATATTTAACGGAAAACCTGCCAAAATAGAGCAAACCTGCCGAGAGTAGGTGAAAGGTGAGGCAGGTTTTGTGTTAATTTTGCAGGCTTTTCTATAAATCAACAACTCGATTAAATAATTACGTGAGATAAATCTCTGCACGAATACGATAAATAGGCAGGTTTTCGGTTAATTTTGCAGGAATCATTTTAAGACTTCAAATTGATTATCAGTCTTAATGTAAAACCTGCCAAATTAGGTGGCAGGTGGCAATGGCTGGAAGGGGCCTGTTATGAAAAATTGGAATAGCTTTTTTTCTACAATTCAGTTCGATATCTCTAGTTATCTCTCCAAAATGTTTGAAAAGTATCGTTCTTTGGGAAAAAAAGAATGGTCAATGGAGCATATGACTAGGTAGGATAGTTTTTAAACGTTGACTAATAGTAATAATAAAATAGTCATCCGACTGTTTTGCCTCGAGTCGGTAAAATGTATTATTGAGAAATTTATTAGATGCTCCCCATACCGTATACGTAGTAACTTGTACATGTATCCACTGTTGAAACCCACTTTCCGTGTATTTAATATTATCCAACATATTATCTCATCAGCTAATGATAAGGGGCTATAGGAAGCTAAATTAGGTTCACTTTAGTTGTACATTAGTACATTGTGGTTCTGCTTGCTACATGTTGTGCCTCCTTCTTCTTCTTGTAATCTGTTTTACTAAGTGTGAACCTTCTGAAACCGTCCCCGAGGAGGATCAACAGTTTATATCAACAGGTTTAGTTTTATTGTGTGTGGTAGTGCTAGTGCCTAATTGCTAGTATAAGCTTATAAGGGGTTGTTCACATATTTCTTATGCCAAGTTTCGGCTATTTTAGACCCTCTCCCACCTACGTGAGCCACATTAATCGTTTATACACTATAACATATGCAGACATTATATTATGCTTACCCCATTGTGTAACTGTAACACTAACTTTTACACTTTACAGTTGGTTATTTAGGGTGGACATGACCCAAAGCTAAAAATAGAAATTTTCTGTGAAAATAACACATTGTTTAGCTTTACTTTAATTGATAACTTATTTCAGAGATCACACTTACAAACACAGCTACAGAGTATGTTGTCGGATCAGAGGCCAAACTAACTTGCCAAGTAAAGTCACAAGATCAGGTCAGCGAAGCTATCATGACTATTTTCAGTCTCCTATAACTTTGTTTTATGCTTTTTCGCTGTCTGTTATAATCTAATGTTCGAAATGTTGATCGCATGTTAGTTTCTCTGTTTACACCGCATTATTTCAGGTGACCGGAATAAAGTGGATAAAAGATAACCAGGACTTCAGACTACAAGGAGTGTTCTCATCTCAAACATCCTCTACTTTTTTCAGTGTTCTCACCTTCACCATAGCCACTTCTGGAGACGCTGGAAGGTACATTATAGTTCTGTATAATAACAGGGATTCCTTCTAACGAATACTTATTATGATACGCCCATTTTGCGTCCAGGACATGTAACTAGGTTACTAGGTATAACCAGAACATGCAACTAGGTTACTAGGTATAACAAATGAATAGAAATTGTTTATGATCTACTCAAGAAGTGTATTTGATAAACTAGGGTAACCCGGCCTTCGGTTGGGATTTCACTGCCACAGTTAAAAAGGGTAGGAGTATTTACCCGCTGGGTCAAACCCGGATTAGGCGAGCAATTCTATTCGGAGTGCCCTCACGTATCCATTAGTATCCTTAACAGTAACAGCTTAAAAATAGTATCTTAAACAACAATCAATAGAAATTAACCCTTATTAACTCCGCACCACACCCGCATATTTATTAACATGCATTACATTGTCGTATGAAAGTATGAACTCTCTCTACAGTCCAAACAGAGTCAGAACGCTTTGAGCGATTCCTCCCCTAATAAGTTTAAAGTATTACATGACAGTGTAATATATACGCTACATAATATACAGTAATGGGATAGAGAGCAAGCCCCGTAACTCTTACCGTTTCAAGCCATTTTATGTAACATTTGTGATTTGTGGTACAAAACCATCAATTAAACCACTAACCACCGGCCGATTTAAAAAAATTTTGCTTATGGGCTTTGCCAGAGTTTTGTCGGCACTATACCGAAACAACCAGTCCCGTAACTCTTACTGTTTTTTTAATATAACTGACCGGAAATTACACATGCACACACACACACACACACACACACACACACACACACATTCTGAGATTATTGTTTAAGATGATACGAATTACCAGGTACAAATGTGAAGCATCAGTGAACAGCGTCGCTCCGTTTGACAAAGAAATGTACCAATCTGACGTGGTTATCACCATACTCAGTGAGTTACCATCGAAAGTTGCTCACCTCTATTATTAGTTACATATTTGTTTCCTCTTTAAGAGTTTATACCTCGTGAATATCTCACAATGTTATTATGATAATAGTTATAATTATAATAATTAATTATAATAATTATAAACCCGGCCGATTTATGTACCGAGTATCCTATTATCGTGGTGTACTGTGTGAACTAAGTAGTCGCCTTAACCTCCCTCTGGTACGTTTCAACAATCGGGGCAAACAATATTGGTCAGGTCGATGATTTAAAGCGGTTTTTCGCGGAAACACTTAATTTTTAAAAGAACTCACTACACTCTACAGTTTATCACTGTTTCTTAAATTCTATAATGGATAAAAAGAAGTAATGTAAATATCCAGGTACCACAAAGAAGTAATGTAAATATCTGCAGGTACCACAATGAAGTAATGTAAATATCTGCAGGTACCACAATGAAGTAATGTAAATATCCAGGTACCACAATGAAGTAATGTAAATATCTGCAGGTACCACAATGAAGTAATGTAAATATCTGCAGGTACCACAATGAAGTAATGTAAATATCTGCAGGTACCACAATGAAGTAATGTAAATAACCAGGTACCACAACGAAGTAATGTAAATATCTGCAGGTACCACAATGAAGTAATGTAAATATCTGCAGGTACCACAATGAAGTAATGTAAATATCTGCAGGTACCACAATGAAGTAATGTAAATATCTGCAGGTACCACAATGAAGTAATGTAAATATCTGCAGGTACCACAATGAAGTAATGTAAATATCTGCAGGTACCACAATGAAGTAATGTAAATATCTGCAGGTACCACAATGACGCCAGCTAAAGTAATGTAAATATCCAGGTACCACAATGACGCCAGCTGATGACCCGGTTTACCTGATGGTGGGAGAACCGTTCCCTCTCTCATGTATCTTCGTAAACTACGCCTCATATTCTCTCTCCGTCTCCTGGACTCAAGGCTCCTCCTCTGTTAGTTTATCCAATAATTCAGTTTTAATAAACCAAGACCAAGTCTCTTTAAGCTTTAAGCTTTTAAGCTAATTTAGTATACTATGTGTCGGATTTGTATTTGGCTGCATAATTTAAGTTCCCATGTAATTTTATGTACAACAAAAATTGTAAATAACAGCGGTTTTAAACTCTGCTTTAATTAACCACCCTACCCTACAGATGACAGCCTATTTCACTGACGATACAGGGGACACAACTTCAACTAAAATAACACTGAACGCCGGTACTGCCGTTGGTTACAGGTACTTAATTCCAGTTTTACAACTCACATTTATTAATAAACAACCCGTTGTTAGATTGTCTCCCTCTGATCAAACTGTATAACATAATATTGAATATTAGCTTTTCTTTGTTTGACTGTTCCCAACCCTATACAAAGTAGTTGACGTATGTGAACATGGTTGCATGGTTACACGGTTACACGGTTACACGGTTACACGGTTACACGGTTACACGGTTACACGGTTACACGGTTACACGGTTACACGGTTACACGGTTACACGGTTACACGGCCAAACAAGCTCGTCTCATCACTATATAACTACACCATAACTACACTATAACTACACTATAACTACACTATAACTACACTATAACTACACTATAACTACACCATAACTACACTATAACTACACTATAACTACACTATAACTACACCATGTTTCAGTAACGATTACGCGTGTAAAGGAGAGTACAGACATCTGAGCTCAGGTAGAGTCATGACAGTTACTGACTCCAGACGGGTCGAGGTCCGAGGGATAGCTTTTCAGCCGCAGAGCGTTTCAGTCGGTATTGGGGGAGAAGCTAAATTCACCTGCGAAACTGTGGGAGAGATTAAGGTTGGTTGATTAATGATAATATGTGAGATTAGTTACCTGAATTATTTAGTTTAGTTACTTGGTATATTAATTTACTTTGAATTTTGGTCTCTATATGTAGACAAATTTTCTCAACACGACGGGATTGTTTATTCTTGTAGTTCAAGTTAGAGGAGCTGATCAATGATACAACTTGTCCGTATTCAAGCGATTAGATGCAGGGTGATTTCCATACTAACTGTTGCTTAACCCTCAGGGCACTGTAGTGTGGTTAGTTGGAGGAGCCGCCCAGGACGAGGACCTCTTCACAACAACTCACAGTACATCACGTGTTACCCGGTCTATCCTCACACTCGAGTCTGTGGAGAAACAGGACTCTAAAGTTCAGTGTCAGGTCACTTTTGGGGCCGTCACTGTCAAATCTAACGAGGTCGACCTTGTTGTTTACGGTAAGGATCTGGGAACAGCAAGTCTTTTAGTCAGAGGATATGAAATATGAATGTGGTTTCATATTTAAAATGTGTTATTATCATGTTACTGTCAATGTAAATAACATCCGTTCACTCTTTGAAACCATTTATTCATTTATCTACGATATTTTTTTGGGATCTGACACATGTAATTTTGTAATGATCTTTCTAATTTCTAATTTCTATATCATTTATCTACGATATTTTTTTGGGATCTGACACATGTAATTTTGTAATGATCTTTCTAATTTCTAATTTCTAATTTATGATATGATCTGAATGTCTAGGTATCGGAGTTGTGGATCACCCCGGGGATACTGGGTTTATTAAAGGAACAGATAACACGCTGACCTGTTCTATTAAAACTGAAAGTGACGTTGTTCCCTCCATACGGTGGTTTATGGGCTTTTCTTCCGTGGGCGCTGAGAAGGTTAATTCTAATTTCCTCATAAGCGACATTCTCTTTTAGTTATAATAATTCATATTCAGTGAAATATATTCGTTTTTAATTGGACCCTTTGGTAGGTTCAGCATATAACTCTAGGCTATATATTGTATAACTATAACTGACAGAAACCTTTCCTGACAAAATAAAAGTTAGTATTTGACATTCTAAACGCCATTAAGATTAGAGCCCTTGTTCCTCAATAGTACTAATTTGATACTACATTATTCTCCTCAGTACTCAACCACTTCCAACGCAGAAAAGACACTCTACACCTCTGAATTGTTCTTTGATAAAGTTCAAAAGTCCGCTAACGGAGCCTACAAATGCAAAGCAGATTTCACGATCAAAGGCCAAATGACGAGCGTTGAATCCAATCCTGCCAGCATTTATGTTAGAGGTGAGTTAACTAATTTATAACTATTTTATCCTATTGACTCATTAACTAATTGATTTCATTGATTATAAAAATTAACCAACCAACTTCTACCAACTGCCGATACTTTTTAATTTGCAGAATCTTAGATTAATTTTAACTAACAAAACTGTCTGCAGAGGTGATAAAGTTGCCTGGTAACGATTATATAACAAGTGTTGTATCTGGGGATAGTAAAGCATTTTCTTGTTACTTATACGTTGGAGTGGAGCCCGATGGAGCCAGCTTTCAATCAGGTTACATTCCAAAATATCAGTTGACATTGCAGCTTTATTGATGATTTACCATTTCTCGTCATAAATGAGTTACAGATGGTCCCAAAGTGAGATCAAACGAGTTTAATGAAATTCTTTCTCTGGATTGTTCCTTAGCACAATGTGTTGAATATAACTACTTGAGCACTTCAGTTACTTGGTATGTAAACAATGTGGACGTGAAAGGAGTGGCAGACTTCGTGATAGACGATGCAAAAACCACGAAAGTAAAGAAATGGCTGACCGTCCTGAGGATGACTAATATTACCCCGGGTCTTGCGGGTCTTGTTAAGTGTAGCTACACGTGTGGCATTGGACCAGATATCTCAGGTTAATATTAATGTTGACGTTTTTATCCCTTTTGTGGCACTATTATAATTATCAGGTACAATCTAGACATTTTCACCTCTTTATACAGGATTTTGATTCTTCTATACAAAATGTCCAAGATGCAATGTTATCTATCAAAAGTTCCATGCCTATACTTACAGATGAGACGATGTTGTACGTACACCGACAAGTCCAGCTACCTGTAGAGACCCACACAACCTCAGCTACCTTCACCATCACGTGTTCTGCGGGGAACAACGAACTTGCTGCTGTCACGTGGCTTGAAGATGGGACTCCTATTGGCCTTAACGATAACAACTTCAAACCTCAGTCAGGTATTGAGTTAGAAATAAATGTTAATTTTGAGATCAGTTTCCTGTCATTTATTCTAGTTCTGCGATTTTTTTCCAGAACTAGAATGGTCGACAAATGTTTAAACTGTTTTTTTTTTGTTTTTTTTGCTTTCTTATTTTTTATTGCTTCTTATTTTTCAGCGACAATCGAAGACTTTGTGCAGCACAACAGATTGTTGGTTGAAGACTGGTCTACCTCGAAGGACATTGTCACCATCAAGTGTAAATACAGATATGACATCTCCAATAAAGAGTATGAAACGTCCACAAAATTCAGTTGGAAAGGTAAAGCAATCGAGACACTTTGTAACCTTTTGTTACGTTAATCAATTTTCGCTTAAATTAAACATATATTATGAATTCTTGAATCGTGATAATTTACTGGACAAATAAAACAATGTAGCTAAAGTTTCGATTAAATCAGATTATACGGAACCAAATAACAAAACAAATTAAGTAAATCTAATTATTCATTTCCCATTTACAACCTAATTAATTGAATATCCCCGTTATAATGCAGTTCCATATAACCTACCATTTTCAAGGTTTCACCACATCCCCGGACCGTTACACGTACTACAGCCCTGCAGAGAAGACGATATACTGCTCGTACGGCTTCACCTACTCCACCACTGGTCCTACCTCAGCTAAATGGACTAGAGATGGGGCTTCTGTGGACAACGATGACAAGTAAAATAAATACATGATTTAGCCTGGGTCTTCGGGAAACGGTTGCTAACAAACCGTTTTACTTTTTCAGCTAAACCTTCACATTGTAGTTATAACTAACATCACACCACTGTTTTTCCAAGTGAAACATCTTCAGATATGAGGTAGATACCGGGAACAAAGGAGCAGGAAACTGGGAGATATCCCTCGCAATAAAGGGAACTGACGGCGTGGTCACGGAGCAAGATGGTGGCGTGTTCGTGTGCTCTTTTGTCTACTCTGAAACTGAGGAGTACCACAGAAATGCTGATGTCTACTTCTATGGTCAGTACTCAAAATACAAACATTTACTTTTTCATACATCACGCTTACACACTACATAGTATGGAACACACTTTGTGCATTATTTTAAACTGTGGACTATTTCTGGGCCGTTCTCTTCGTACGTTTGTTTTGAGATCCATGCACTGGTGGTACCGAATGTAGACATTGACGCAAGAACGGAGCCCCCAATCCACACTGAGTGCTGTCTGTTGTGTGGTGCTATAACTTTTACCCTCGCCAACTTCGGACTCAAACTGTTAACTTCTTTTTCGAGTCGGAGGTCTAATCCTGGTAACTTAGTCGTACCTCCAACCAGAGTGATATTTCGGTACAGATCACTCCTTAGATCTATTCCACATTTCATGATGGATTCTGCGCAAGCAGTATGTAGTCCCGGGGTTTGTCTTCCTAACAAGAATGGATCGAACAAGGCTTCAGCACACTGAAAACGCTCTTTATTTACTGACAGTACCTGCCCGTCTGGCAAAGTATACTTCTTTTTCAGTGTATTTCCCGCTGTGTTATCCCGCAACTCTCTTGCGGGATCCTGAGCTACAAAACACAGTTTCTCCTTGATATCCCGCGCAATGTCCCTCTCTGAAGAGCTCACAAACTCGTAACCGGTATTTTCGTTCAACAGCTTTGTTAGATAGTCTGTGAGCTCCCCTCCCGCCACTTCGAGTCTTGTAACAGCTTGAGGGATAGAGAACCCCTGGTATATGGGCACCAGATGGGTAACCCCCTCCCCGCTATCCACCACCATACCTGTGGTACCACCGGATGAATAAAGAGCCAGAACTGACTGCATCCCAAAATGAATGCCTGGACAGCTAAAGTTTTCGAACATTATCTGTGCGGTTATTTCCTTGTTCTGTTTGGGATTCAAGGGAGGCTCGGTTAGCAGGACAGGGTGTTCATTTGGTGATACTTTTAGTTCTTTGTTGAATACATGATCCCAGATCTTCTCCATGTCGTCCCAGTCTGTCACTATTCCGTACTGTATGGGACAGCGCAAGTCGAGCATTCCCCTCTTCCACTGAGCTTCACTACCCACAAAATATTCCCGTGAGGTTTCGGCTGCTACCATGGGCGTGTGGCTGTGTTTAGGGTGGCCCACCACCGAGGGAAATACTGAAGTCGGAGTATCGTCCCCGGCAAACCCAGATTTTATGATTCCAGTACCGCAGTCGAGAACTACGCTGTTCATCCTCGATTCACCGTATATGGAAGAGCGGACAAATCACGAATGTATAAATTGGACAAACGTCAAGTTGTGTCGTTAAACGGATTGTAAAATATATGATACTCTTATATTCCTCTCCGTAGACCGTGGTTATAGCCACCCAAATTAAATTACAGGCTAGAATATCACACTCGACTGTCTTAATTTAATCCCTAAATGTTTATTTCTTTCTAGGCGAAGGATTTTTCGGAAATCTTTACTCTTTAGTAGTATTTTGTTTCTTGGGATAAATGAAACGAAGGGTATCAAATTCGAATACGCTTATATTTCGGAATATTGAATATGTAAGTAGGTTTCACCCGATAAATTTCTCGTTTAGGGCACATACATACATTTAACACACATAATATGATTCGATTTTCAGTACCTTATAATGTTACTTAAATAACAAGTCGTTACCTTTTGTATCAATAAACCCGTACCTAATCTCAGAATCACTGTAATAACGAATCACATACTCACTGTAATGCCCGTCTTTGTAAGGCTATCGACCTAAATCTCTGATTGTCCGGCGATTCCCATGACTTTGTTGATGATAAGAGCAGATGAAGAGCCCAGAGTTAAGCCAAGCAACATCATCATGGTCATGAGATTACCAGCCATTTCTCGTTCTTCTAGGCTAACTTTATCAGCAGCAGCGCACATGGGAGTAGAGCCCATGTAACCGGTGGTGAACCCCAGGATCAGGATCACGATCAAGGGACATCCTTCTCCAGAGATGAAGGGACCATTAAGCGGTAGGACGGACATCAATAGAATGGGTATGAGCGCCCAGCGCAGACATCCCATCAACAGGAGGATATTATCCGGCATCTTCCAGGGTAGCCCAGTTACCAGGGTTCCTACCAAGTCTGATAGGTTGAAAGCTGTGATGAGGATGACCGGGAGCCAGCCGTTCGACCACGAAGATCCTATAACGGATGCCACACCAGGGTAGAGTAGGTTGGTCACGAAGTACACGTTCAAGATCCCAAACATCAGCTTCCAGATTTTCTTGCTTACTTTGAGCCGTAGCTTCAGACCCTCCTTGATCGAGTCCCAGGCAGACTTCTTTGTCTTTGAGGGAAGAGGAGAGTAAGATACGGTATCGTACTGGTGTTTATCTTCAGCAGTCGCAGCCTCCTCCTTCGCTTTGTAATACTTCACAAACTCGCTTTTCTTGATGTATCTGTGAAGGATAATGCACACTATTTCACCGACTATTGACAGGGAGAAGAAGATAACAGTATTGGTAAGGGGGTCCTCAATCGTCAACTTTGTCACGATCCTGTTGAATGAGACCACAAGCCCAGCGAAGCTCTCCCCTAACATGAGGGCCCTGGTGTACTTGCTGGGCAACATGCCAGCGTAACCATAGTAACTGGCCTCTTGCACTCCGCACCCTATCCCTGTGAAGATGGTAGCTCCAATGGTCACCAGAAACCCCGTGCTACTGTCCACCACACCCAGGATTGTGAGCGCCACCAGCAAGGCCATGGAGAGCAGGGATATCATGAAGGCCAGGTAACCGAAGGAGATCCTCTTATGAGTGGAGACCTTGTTAACCAGAACCACGTTGATGATCACCGCCAAACAGACTGTGTAGGAGTTTGTGGAGGCGACTATAAATGCCATGTTGTTCCGGTTGAAGCTGAGCATAAAGTAGTCAACTGCTGCCACAAAGCTGTTGAAGGGCAGGTGAAACCCAGCTCCAAGGATCATAAATGCTACGAAGTAGCGGTTGTATCTGTCCCTGGGTCTCTTCTCCTCGCAAGCTTTTTCCTCTGATATATCATCTACTAGGTCGTCGAACAGGAACTTGTCTTCCACCTTGTAGTAAGGAGTTGGAGGGAGTGGTACCAGCAGTGTATCCGAGATAGAGATCTCCTCAAGATCACTGTACTGAGTAGAATTTGACTCCAGAGTCGCTGGAATTGAGGTGGTGTCTTCAGAGGAGATCAAGGATACTGTGTCCCCGAGAGCCTCTGCAGTGGTGTTGATATCTTCTCCTGATATCATCTTTAGTCGGCTTAGTGTGCACTTCTTCTATATGAACTTCTTCTGAAGTTAAGTGTTCGTTATTTGGCGACCAACCATCTTTGAGGAAATTTCAATACTGACGGATTTAATTCAAGTCAAAAATTCTACAGTAAGAAAGCAATCAAATTCGCTGGGAAATCAGGTATTAACACTTACATGGGGAGAGGAATGAACCAGTGGATGCTAGAGATCGTTTGTTGAGAGCGATTCCGGCTTGTAGTATGAAACTATCTGCTCCTTTATCGACAACACTTTTCTTCATATCACGAATACGGGACCTTTTCTCGAGACTTAAAGCTAAAAAAGTGTGCAGGTTACTTCAACAATCAACATCGCACAATATCATGGGACGTATTGGTTTTATATCAAAGCTTATAAAAAATGTAAAATTATTTCCGCTGTAAGAAAATCAAAGTCCTGAAACGTATTTTGGGATAGTCGACATTTCAGTGTGCAGTGCCCTATACAGAAGGAGACTATATCATAAGTTTAATTATATATCTTCCTTAAATATTAAATAAACATTGTCTGGAATATACTGTCTATACTGCTATACTAGTCGTTATACTAATATACTAGTCTCTTACCTAGAATAGTTATCTTGAGACAATAGTCTCGCCATATATAAGCATCGCATAACTTTCCATCACATACAGTGTGTCAAGTATATCGAAACTCAAAAGTAGTTGGAAAGCAAAATGTCTCTAGTAATGTCGAGTTTTTTGCGTTTACGTACGCACATCCGCTAATTACAATAAAATTGTCTTCAAACTGGATAAACAGTCCTGCTCAAAGTGCACATTAGAAGAACTAATCAAGTGTGAACGCTGTCATGGTAGAACTACTCATAATTCAGTCAAAATTCAATAAGTTAAATTTTCACTTTGCTGTGAGACAATTCGATTAATTTAGACTGTGTTGATTCTTGTAACGGTACAAAATACAAAAATAAGCTCATGTATAGAGTAAGACGCACGTGGCACAAGCCGGTATAATTCAGAAGATACAATCTGCATTGGCATGGAATAAGAAATTTACACCTCAATTTAGACACCTGTTGTATTAGTACGGTTGGATTTATTTTTCAACATGACTTATATTAGGTCCATAATGTTCATAGACGTCATTTGCAAGCTTCAATTCGTAAATTAACAGGGGGTCTGGAAAATGCGGACATGAATATAGTGGGATATCTGAATGCTGACAAACATGTGCTTACATAATATGTTGAAACCTTCTACCCCACCTACATATTAATGCAGTCCCTAAAAGCAACCTAGCGTGAATATTGGATTAGTTATGCTGTGAGTCAGGATAATGGAGGGCAAGGGGCATAAAATCAAATTCTAGGACCACAAACTCCCACAAACCTGACAACATTATTATATTTATAGGTATAAACTCTTATACAGCACCTACTTAGCTGGGTACAGTGTTCATTGAGAGTTTTTATCTTTTTATTGTGAGCTTTACTAATGAAATATGTTAGCACATATCCAACATACCTCTTAGTCAGGACATATAACTCTGTATAACGGGATATAGGGTATAGGGTCACTTTCAGCTTTGAAAAGAGTGCATCTTTAAATTACCATTCAAGCTGGAGAATCATGACTAGAAAGGATCAGAGTACCCGTTTTCTTGAAATTTGTTGCTTTCTTGTAATATTTCGTGATAGGGATTAAAAGGAGCTGGATATGCACTGAATAATGGGAAATGTGGGACCGATGACAAACTTATTCTGCTATAACCTGGATTGTCTATCTTGCGCCACTGCAGCTAGAATAGCTTGAACTAGAACCTCTTGAGCTAGAAATTCAACTACCAAATTGTATGAACTTCAAAAATCGATGAAATCAATAAAACATTTTACAATATTCGGGTGGTCGAATCAATGCAATTGCTTACAAAATGAGGAAAGATAGACTATGGAGGTCGACAAAATCTACCGTGCAGTAACTTGAAAGCTTGTAGTCTTAAAGTGGATATGGTGAGTAAACTAAGTCTATCACCTAACCGGAAAGTCTGTTTATTCCTAGAATACCTATAATTCCGATGAATACGAATAGCTTTATAGCTTTATAGGATAAACTCATAATAGCTATATCATACATTATAGTGTCACTGTCAGGTCGGAATGCAAACAAATATTACATTAATTTTCTCCTAAACAAGTTTTGCTCACACAAACACAATTTGTAAAAGTAAAACTTGTTTGGTTGGATTTAATTTTGTCAAAACTCAAATATACATTATCCATCCTAGTGCGATGAATGGTTAAGGTCGAAGGTTAAGATGCCAGAGATTTCAGATTCAGTTAACGTTCTTGAGATACCTGACCTGATTTTTCTAAAATTCGTAGAAATATTTTATTTAATGCTCTTTGATGGAATATCAGAATATGCTAAATTAAAATAGTTTCATGTACCGTATATAAATATTTTCATATATACGTTATTAAAGGGTTTCGTTATATTGATTAATCTGCCAGAAACTTAAATATGAATATATAATATATCCTATTATAATATATCCGGATATTACAATATGATTAAACGTCGTATATTTAATATTCTCCATCATCAATTTTTAACGAATCTGGAAAATTAGAGACATATGAGCACTTCTAATTTAGAATTTGTTTAGACGCTTAGCATCCCTTATTGTGTCCATACGAGAAGTGATCTGACGAAACAAGGTCCATCCAAAGTAAGAGAATTGTATAAGTTTATGCCAAATTTTAATGTGTTATAGTGTGTACGCAACGGCTTTGTCGTCCAAATCAACAATCAATCGTGATATTAGCGACAACTTGATTATCAATTGGTAGACTTTACTAAAAACTGATCACAAAAGGCAATGCTCAACGTCAATGTTGATTCCAGCAAATGTTTGCTAGTTTTGACAACGTTTGTAACTTTTATAGTAAGAGTTTTCGTTGTTCGTTTCGGACAATCCAAGGTGGGGCACGATTATGCAACACCCGAGATTGAATTTAAATAAAAGCCTCTTTAACATGTTTAAATGTCATAGCTGTTTAAATGTCATAGCTGAGGGCATCTTTTGTTTAAGAAGGTCGGGGTGGTGGCTGCAAACCCTTTCTATTCTGCGTAAGAAGTCATTTCATTTGTTCTTTTTTATTAAATACTTTTCAAATTTTACAGAGTACAGCAATAGATGAATATAAAATAGAATCGTTCAAAATATCATCCCCATCTGTAAAATATGATGGGCACCCAAACACATTAAACACATAGTGAACTATGTCCGCAGTAACTTGGACTCATTACATACTGGATATGACGATTATTAAGAAAGATAACAAAGAACCGAAAAGCAAGGAACCGTTATCCTCAGCGGCTGCAACTATAAATGGCAGTAGCCTACAACTAAATGATTGTCAGGCCAAAAGTTAGAAAGCTGTCAGAACCCTTGTGCAACAAAGTTAACTGAGGTGTGAAATAAGAGCACAGTTATATAACCACAAGATGCAAACTAAAGTGCTGAAATCACGCCCGTTTCTATACACGTCATCTGTTGCCCGGACACTGTCACAACCTGTCCGTCATCGCCAAAAATAGAGCTGCAATAACGATTGTCTCACTCAATCTGGCGGTTGAGTAGAGTGAGATAACGGTGTGAGCTGAGTGCTCTACAGTCACGTGGCTGTCCTGTGGGGAGTAGCCTGATTGTGCTTGACTTGCTAATCAGATGAGTGGAAGGTGATGTTTTATTACAATATTGTGTTTTAATAATAACTTAATTAGTAATGGTCCCCTGAAGGGAAGTCTAAGCTGTTGCTTGTCGGTCCAACCATCCTACAAGCTCTCCTTAACTCTAACTCTCTCTCTCTCTAACTCTCTCTAACTCTCTCTTTCTGTGATTAAAATGTGGCCGTTATACTTTATAGTGGTGATTAGTGGAGAGTGGCCGACGCTTAAGCCATGGGGGAACATTCTTAACTCTATTGATTTCTAGTTTAAAATGTTATCCATATCAACTTAAATACGGTCCTCTGACATCCGATGCTCTCTCAATTACTTTACAGTTATTGCTGCAAGAACATGTCACTAGATATTATTTTATTCTTATGACAAGCTTGCCAACAGATAAATTGATATCGTAGATACTAATAGTTGATAATATAGTTGATACTAATAGCTAATAGTTGATAATACCCTCAGATATTGAGACATTGCCTGCTGAACCGAAGTTCTACGACGCGCTCTCAGTGACCCTTACATGCGTTCTGAAGAGCAAGGATCTGACCGTATCCGGGGTGAAATGGGTGAAAAACAGCGAGACAGTGAAAGCACCTACCTTCAATGTTACAGCTGGATCAGACCCACTTACAAGCTACCTTTCCATCAATGAGGTAACGTTAATATCTTTAAAGTTCTTCCTAATTCTTTTAAAGTTAATAAATATAACTTGGAGTCTTGGATATCTTGTTGCCGAATAGATAAGACAAAAATGCTATAATTTGTAGTTCCTCATTTATCTCAATAATACGGAAATTCGGTACATAGTTAATTTGTGAAAATAATCTTCATAATCTGATTGAGTCGTGTATTACTATCTACATAAGATAAGAAGGGTTAAATTCTCAACCCGAAGTAGAAATGTATGAACCCTGGTTGTTCCAGAGTTGTTCCAAACTGGTACAAGTTTATCTCTAGTTAATATTTAATCTCGCTGCCCAGGTGGTAGCAGCTAATGAAGGTACCTTTGGTTGTCTATACGATGTGCCGGGCAACAAGGAACTTGAAGAGACTATGTACGCTTACATTCGCAGTAAGTTGTCCGCCATCATAGTATCTTATTTAACCCAACCAACGCGTTTATTAATAGTATGTGACGATCAAAGCATCATATGTAAAAAGGAAGACAAACATATTATGATATTCCCAAATAACTAAAGAATATCAGCTTATGCCAGTTTTTTTAATCTGGCCTACTAATGAAGGCGATTGTACTTTTCTGCCGTATCTCCTAAGTCCTAATTGTATCAATAAGTTTGCTTTCATTGCCAATGATGTAATGGTCTGGGATTGTGGTTTAACACGTGTCACGTACGTAATCCTCCATTTTCTGAAAATCTCTATAGATATTTTTTATCAGAGAGAGATTTATCATTACACCCCCTATATTTTCCTTCAACTAGAACCATCGAAGTCATATGTGATTTGTCTCTGAAGTAAATATATGTTTCTGTGTGTGTATGTGATTTGCTATCTAATGCAAATCACATACAGAAACAGATCACATACAGACAAATATTCTAGATTTAATGTACTTTTTCGTACACTTTTAGGAATTAAGCTCGGGTTGATGAAAATCCAAACTTTCTAGAATACTGACAAATAAATTTTAAGCGAACGCTCAATTTTCGCCCTGGAATTTCAGTGTGCCCTACCTAAACACTTGATTACTTAGTCTTTCTATTTCTGTTTCTCTTAATACTTTAATAGTACTGGACTTAAGAGTTGATTGGCTAATTACAGACTAGTGAGTGCAGACTACTGATTGTTGCTGACACGATCACTTGTTAGTTACACTAATTGTGGATTTGAAACATTTCCACTAATCACACTGGCTCCACTAAAGCACTAAGCGAATCACACTGTTCTGATGTTTAGTCCGAGCACTTTCTTAGCAGCACCGTATTATTATCTACTTCAACCCTCGTGGTCTCACACGTGACCAATCACTTCAGATATAGAGCTACTGAGTGAGGAGTACTTGGTGGTAGCAGCAGGAAGTGAGGTGGAGCTGTCCTGCTCTGTTAAAAACTACACTAAAGTAGATCTGAACTGGTACAAGGATGGGGCTACTGATCCAGTTCCCGGGCACACCGAGACTTATGACGACTTCGTTGTGACTAGTACCCTTACTTTGGAGAGTGTTCAGAATGAGAATCTTGGAGAGTACCGGTGTGGCATTGAAGATTCTAGATCTGGAAAGTCTTCAACTGTTTCCTCGGTGACAGTGAGTGCTGTGGGTGCTGTGGTGCTGAAGGGATCCGGGCCTGCTACAATCAAGTGTGATCTATCGGGTGCTGTCTCGCAGCCAATCTCTGTCTTATGGACAGGTGACCATTTTGAGCGGATTTTTCTTCTAGTTGAAGTAAATTTGTGCTTTTGTTTTTATTGTTTTGATGATTTGGGTTTCCAAAATGATTCTTACGCTTGTTTTTTTTAGACGAAAATGACAAGGAGTACAAGGCGACCGACTCTTCAAGTGAATATACAGTGGTGGCAGGAACATTCAAGGACGGAGAGCAGACCACTACTCTAGAGATTGAACCATCCACTTCCGCTATCTTCACTTGTAAATTCGTGTTGGACGGAACCACTGGAAGCAGGTTGGATTTTTTAACTGATATTAAATTAAAATAATAATAGATTGTTCAAATATTGATTTTAGATTTATTTTCTCTTTACTGGATCGTATTCCACTTGTTCTAACGATTCTTCTTTTATCAAGATAATTGTTTTCCCTTCATTTTTCATGTTTAACTGGCTAGCAGGCTAAGCACACCTTTTGATTTCAGGAAAGTTGCTGTAACGGTAGTGGAGATCACCAGTACCCCCTCTATGGTGCACAAGGGTTCAGACACGTCAGTCCAGTGCCGGTTGGAGGGTGCCAGCACCGCTCCCACAGTATCCTGGTCCCAGGCAAATAATCCCGACCAAGAGACAACAGAGAATACTGGAAATTTCGCAGACAAAGTTCTGGTTAGCACGCTGGAGGTGAAGAATGTGATGAAGGAACTGCTGTACAGCTGTACGTTCAATGTGGAGGGTACCGAGTTTAGTACGGAAGTTCTGGTAAGTGCAGACTGCAGAGTTTTGGTTTGTGAGTTTGGTTGATGTTAGCTCATTCAGAAAACTGTTCGGGTCAGCCTGAAGTATTTCTATGATTCTAATTTTGTTTTCCTTATCTTGAAACTCGTTCAGATCAACATATACGAATTGGCTATCCCTGCAACACATATAGTAGAGAAAGGAAAGTCGCTTCAGATAGAAATACAGATTGAGCCCGAAATACCGGACATAACCTCTTATGTTAAGTAAGTTCTTCTTGGTTATAAAAACACTGTATTGTAGCCTGTAGGTCTTGGCTGTTTTTGTTGTTGTTGTAGGTCTTGGCTAGCAGTAGCAGTCTAGATTGCAAGTTGTTGTCCTATAAAAATGTGTTAAAGCCCCAACTATCATCCTATTTCGCCTGCTTCGAACGTTACAAGCGTTGAATTATAAAATAGATGAACAAATATACTTGAATTCTCATTATTAATTACTACCCATCAGGCAATCTGAAGTATCAGAAGACGTGACAGTAGACGGGACAGCAACCATCACCGTAGAGAAGGAGAAAGTAACAGTTACTTACGCTTCAGTTGTTACACCCATGATATTTACTTACCAATACACAGACAGTTCTGATGCTGTACACACGTTGACATCTAACATTCACGTTGTTGGTAAGTCTGAGTCACAAATTGTGTGGATATATTTGGGGGGGGGGTTCACCCTGATTTTTTTGTGAAACTTGGTTTCGAGATAGCAGTTGACCAACAAACTAAGACCGGTGACCGAACTTTTGAGGGGGTCCCCAACCGCGACCGCCAAACGGTGCCCGCGGGGCAGCCACGCCCATATTTGGTCCAAATTAGGCCAAATTTAGCCAAATACCCTAGGAAACTAACACACTCACAGGATCCCACATGACGTGTAACCCCAGGATTTGGTTTTTGAATCGGACACTGAAAACAACGATAGAGGAGCGGTCTACACGCTCACAGGCTACCATGTCTCGTGTAACCCCAGGATTTAGCACGCTCACAGACTAGCACGTCTCGTGTAACCCTAGGACTCACTTAACAGACTTTAACACGCTCACAGGCTTCCACGTCTCGTGTACCTTAGGATTTGGCTTTGGATCGGCCACTCAAAACAACGATAGAGGAGCGGTCTACACGCTCACAGACTACCACGTCTCGTGTAACCGCAGGACTCTAACACTTATAACAGACTCTAACACGTTCACAGGCTTCCACGTCTCGTGTACCCTAGGATTTGGTTTTGGATCGGAAACTCAAAACAACGATAGAGGAGCGGTCTACACGCTTACAGGCTACCATGTCTCGTGTAACCCCAGGATTTTACACGTTCACAGGCTACCACGCCTCGAGTGTATCCTAGGATTTGGTTTTGGATTGGACACTCAAAACAACGATAGAGGAGCGGTCTACACGCTCATAAACTACCCCGTCTCGTGTAACCCCAGGATTTAACACGCTCACGGGCTATCAAGTCTCGTGTAACCTTAGGATTTAATACGCGTACGCTCACAGGCTATACCACGTCTCGTGTAACCCTAGGACTCTAACACTTAACAGACTCTAACATGCTCACAGGCTTCCACGTCTCGTGTACCCTAGGATTTGGTTTTGGATCGGACACTCAAAACAACGATAGAGGAGCGGACTACACGGTCACAGGCTACCATGTCTCGTATAACCCCAGGATTTTACACGTTCAAAGGCTACCACGCCTCGTGTACCCTATGATTTGGTTTTGGATCGGACACTCAAAACAGCGATAGAGGAGCGGTCCACACGCTCACAGGCTACCATGTCTCGCGTAACCCTAGGATTTAACACGCTCTCAGGCTTCGACGTCTCGTGTAACCCTAGGACTCTAACACTTAACAGACTCTAACACGCTCACAGGCTTCCACGTCTCGTGTACCCTAGGATTTGGTTTTTGGATCGGACACTCAAAACAACGACAGAGGAGTGGTCTACAGTGACGTTACAGGAACATTGCATACTCCTACGAGTTGCACGTAGCAGGCCATGACCGTCCCTGGAAGTCCCTGTCTCCTCATCGTTAACCCGTAAGGGGTTGCACCAGGGGCGGTGGTAACAGAGTGGGGACGCGTTGCGAAAGCCACCGCAAGGAAGGCTTACAGTCGATGCCAACCAATCAAAAGACATACATACATACTCATTAACTACATTAAATGGATGTATTACCGCATTTAAATCCGTGAGAATTGTCTGATATTATTATATATGCAGTGAGAACATTCTTAGTTTCCTTAAACCGCATACCTTAACCTGATGACTGAGAATGCTTATCATAACTCTAATAACCTCCCAGAGTTCAAAAAGAACAAAGTCAGTCTCAGTGATGGTGTGGAGGAGGCCGAGCTAGCATGTACCATGCACGGAGATCTATCAACGGAAATGAGGCAGCAAGTGTCCTCATATTGGGTTATTGGAGGACAGAAAGAGTTCAAGATGGCTACAGTAGCTGGTTTTTATATACTTATTCTATTATTTCTGGTGTTTCTTCGTGTTCTAAGATGTTTGTTTGACGTGGAGAAAAGCGCCTTATCAATCTCGTTTAAGGCCCAAATAACATCCACTATATCTTGTGACCTGACATTTTATATTAATAGGAAGTTCGGTAACCAGCAAGTACGATATGACGGTTACCAGTGCCACGGTCGACCAAGAAGTTGCATGTGGGTTTTCCGTTCAAGGAAAGGAATTTACCCACACAGCTACATTAGATATCATTGATATCACGTGTCCTGAAAAAGTGGAAATAGGTGACGACGGGGAGGTTGATATAGCGTGCACCATCTCCGGCTCCAAGCACTTCGAGCCAGTCAAATCTATTTGGTACAAAGGTGAGTTAACCTCAGTCCTCGAGAAAAATAACCAGAAACTTTGTTGAATAGTGATCAAATTCATTTGTAAACATTGCTACGAAATATCTAGTGTTCAATTGTAAAAGCACGTACAGAGTGTCTCCATCAACCTCACAGGTTTTAGAATTCTGTTTATAGATATAACTGTCGAGACTGAATCATGCCCTGAATTTTCTCAGTCATATGTCGTTCTTTGTCTATCTAACCCACGCAATACACCAAATAGCATCCTGTAACGGTTGTTCTATCCCTAGGAAACTCCCAGGAGCTGATACAGAGCCTGTCAGGCGCTGGCTGGCCGGACCCGGTCACCACCACATTCGTAGACGTCTCTACCACCGGGGCATACCGCTGTGTTATCGATATGGGGGTTGCGGAGTTTACCAGGAATATTGAAGTCACTAAAGCGGGGGTTGTTGACCCAGTTGACCCTGTTGACCCTGTTGATCCAGAAGGTGGCTCCGATAAGAATCTGCCCCTTATAATCGGTATAACGGTTCCAGTGGTGCTTGTTTTAATAGCAGTGCTGGTGGTCGGGTACTGCTGCTTCAAGAAACACAGAACAAGACGGGCGTCCTTCAACATCAAAACTCTGTCCATGAACTCAAACTCATTTAATCGACCTGAGTCTCTGATATATGCGAACGCGGATGGTCAGGCCCAGGGAGCACATCGGGCGGCAAGGTACAGTACACAACATCGCGAGAACGATCAGGCCCACATAAACGGCAACAATCTCAGGGTCAACTACCGGGTAAATAACCCTAGGACTGATTCCAGGCCACAAGCGAGGAAGGCAGCCCCAACACCTCCAAGCTCGGGAGGTTCTAGAACCCCGACAAGGACTGATGTTCGGACGCCCGACAATTCAGGCGTCAGATATAACCGGGACTTTGATGCCAGCGTGTACAGCAGGAATCTTGCGGCCAAAAATTTGGGAAACATCCCGACATCTAACGCTTGAGTCTCCCGGAAAACAGATTTTGAGATTTTCATCTTTTTATAATTGCTTTGATACGCAACCTGATTGTTTTGGCTTTATATCAAACTTTTATTTTCGTTTTCTGCTTTGATCACAATTTTCGCATGTCAATGCAAAATGCTAAATGTAACTTTTAAACGTGATCTATGATAATTTGCTGAAATAATGGTTTGTAGTTGTATATATTTTGCAAACATCGCTCATTTTAGATGTGGGGTATTATTTCTTTTCTTATTCCAATTGGAGAGATTGGATTTTCAAAATTGATCTATATCAGGTTTCAGGACACAACAGTACGCAATATTTTGATATGTCCCCTATAAAGCCGCAACACTCCGTTTAAAATTCAATGCTTGTCGAAATTAATACCCACGCTTCTTACGCCACAGGGTTAATTAGGATATTATTGTGGCAAAAGTGGGGCATTTCTATTGATTTAAGTTATACCCTGTATTTTAGGAGGAACGCCAGGCAGCACGGTCGGGACCCTGGTGTCTTGTTACACGGCTCTACAGTAGTTAGTTCCACTCTAATCGCATTAAAACAAGTGTTTTTACCAATCTAAATATTCGGCAGGATCAGCGCAGGTTCCTAACTGTCTGGTGCTGTGTAGTGTAGCAGAGCCGGCTCCTGGCCCCGGTCATTTGCTACCACCCCGTGCTCTTCGTCTACCCCCGTCTAGTGGGTATAGCCACCATCTAGGAGTGGTCCACCCAGCCTGCAGCTCAAATCGGTCTTGACATCATCATTCAAACACGCCATTGCACCCTTGTGTATAGTTCTCCTTCCCGTCATCTTGTTAGGTGTTGTTACGAGAGGAGTACTAGGTTTCGTTATGTGGCGGGGGATTGCCTGATCAGTAGTAGTACTGTGTTATTAGTTTGATGATTGTGTACGGTTGTGATGATCGCCCATCACATCTCCTTCATTGTCCAGTGAAGTTCGCGGATCATTCAATTTAATCGAGCTTGAAGATATAGTAGTAATTATTACAAAGCGTCAAAGGATTGTGGACTGAAAGCAGTGGACATGTCACAATGCTCCACAGGTCCAGATTTGGTGGACACGTGAGCTATTGCTGGGTCACGTGCCCCACTGCTCCCGGTCACGTGAGTCAGTGTCCAACAATTCTCATTAAGACGATGAGATACGGAGAGTCCGGCACTTGTGGTCCAGCGAGGCGTTAGCAAGCAATCCCCGATACAATGTTGCACTTCACACGTTATTGGTAGCTATCTGTATCAAGATATAGATTTGTCGAGATCACGATATATTTGATAGCATTTATCTGAAATACAGATCTATAAGTATATCTATCGAGCGTTTGTTTTTAATTTTAAAGATGATGCTTGCTATCTTCTCAAATATTGAGGTTAATTTCTCGAGGTTAAATCTCTTGAGGTCAAATTCTATTGGATCTTCAATTCAAGGTCGCATTATCAATTTAAGCTGCAGTCGCTTTAGTCTTTCTTTTATTTTTCAGACATCAGCGTAACGTTTTACTTACAGTCGCTTTACTACTTTTTTCATTTGTGATTTGATACTGCAAACATGATGACCTATATCACGTCATGAGTAACACTGGAGTACTTAATACCCAGTAACCTGCAGTATCACTAGTAGAGAAAAACATTCGGCCCTCCTCCCAAATAACATTATTTAATTGCGTCTACGTAATTAGAATACGAAAAGTTTGGCCTCATGTTACCTGCATCTATCGTAATCACTGATTCTCTGGAAACATCTACCAATTTCAAGCTTAACCCGTACCCTGCAGCTTACTGATGATAACTAGCTCTAGAAAATACCTATTTCTCAAGTGCATGTGGTATTTTACCTACTCAACCAGCTACCACTTGCAATTCAAGAACCCTTTACCCTATAATCTTCTGCCAAATGTACAATAAATTGTCTAGACATTCCAATCAAATCATCCGCTCTCAAATCCCATTAGGAATCTCTGGTATCTCCGTAATGAGAGGAGTTATCCATCTTCAACCATAGATCAGGCTTCCCTGGTATTGCATTAAACTCGCCCCCAGGAGGGAGGGGACCAGATGTGTGATGCTTATTAAAGAGATATTATAGATTGACCATTGTTGCAGTACAGAAACAGAGATAGGTTTATGAGAGTGATGATCAGGACCCATATATCTTGTGCCTGGTGAGGGGGCGGAGCTAGTTTTGTTATGAGCTAGTTTTACTTTTGTTCTGATGTGAACCTAAGGATGGGTCGGGGTAGGTTCCTAAGGTGGGACTAATGTGGTCCGCCTGGAACTGTATTTTAATCCGGGGCGGATAAATCATGAATAGGTGGTTGTTCCCGTAGTTCTGGGCCCAAGTTTGCCGTACCTGATCTGACGGTTCTGACGGTTCTTGTGATTGTTGGGTTTGTGTCTCCTTGTGGCTGGGAGAATTAAGGGCGAAGTTAACTGACAATATCAATATCACTATTAATTGGGATTAATCATTATCAATAATCCGTATCAGTATAAATTAGTTTAGATATCAATATCAATATCAATGTCAATATCAGTGTCAATTATTCCAGTATGGGCTTCAATAAACATACGGGTATGCGGTACCACAGTTTCATAGTTTGCATTTGTTATGTTTGAATTCCCAATAATTTATTATACTCATGGAACGAAGATCGATTTTAAAAATAAAAGTTTGGAACTGACGTACGCTGCCTTGTATTAGTGTATTGGTATGGTGGATTGCTAGAGGTGTTTGATTATTTTGTAGCGTAATATCGTAACATCAAGTTATTCAACATATTAAGGTAGCACTACACTGCACGATCACTTTCTCCGTACAGTATCAACACCGGCTATACATATCAAGCAGATGCAGATTTTACTTTTTTGATCAGTTAGTAGTTCTTATTGCTACATTCCTTTCTAATGGTTCAAACTCGTGCACTTTAAGTACTTGCCATGGAGGAGGGGAGTAATTGAGACGGTGCAAACTATTTCGTCTGATCATTTCATCTGACAATGTAGTCACGTGGTATGACACGTGTTGTTTTGTTAGAACCGGCCACCGCAGGTCTATTACAGGAGCACAGTTGGAGTAATTTAAACGCTGTTTAAAAATGTATCGCCTTCTCATACTGGACATGTGGAGCTGCTTGCAAAATTTGAGATATTGTGCATATTTTCACTATTTTGGTGTCGTTCTTCAGTCGTGGTTCTTCTATCGAACATGACCACCTACCTTTCTCTTACGGGACCACAAGTACACCTCCGTCCCCGTCCCACCTTTCTTATCTTTCCTGCATTCCGCCTCTCATTTGATTCCGTGCCACATAATTAGTGGACTGTTTCCGTTTTCCTCACGGACTAATTGCATAATTATTAGTCAAGATTTCTGGTTGTTGTACTGAACACTTTCACAGAGCATATTGGGACACTCCCCTCGTCTGTCACTAACCGACTCTCTAAAGTGCAGATACTACCTATAGCCTGGATTTTAGTTAAAGCCTAGCGTCTTATAGCTCTTGTGTACAACAATGTACATAATTAGTTAGGTGCATGATCGTATTTTACAGAATATGCTGATCAAACTTCATTTGTTTCTGCCGACACCGTTTATAGCGAGAAAAATGTTGACGAGGGCCGACAGCTGTGGGTCTAGATGCCCTTTCTTCAATCAATTTTTGCTCGTTTTTGTGACAACCATAAACGCCTCAAGTCGTTACAAAAGTGCACGCAGATTTTGCGCTGAACATTCTCACTAACACCGGTTTTTAGAGAAGACTCGGTTTTAAGAGAAGACATTCGTTAGACTAGACGGTAGACATATAGCAAGAGTACAAGTGGAGCTGCAATCAGCTGCATAGAGTGAACAGAATGTGAAATGGCGGGGGTGTATAAATACTGTAATTACTCTTACTGAGCCTGTCTAAAAGAAGTATACTGTTAAGATTTAATATTACCTCGCAAGAAACTGTAAACACTCAAATACTAGAGTCTGTCGTCTCTCGAGCATGTGTTAATGTGGCTAGCGATCCAGTACGTTCTCTTTTACTGTTCTCCAATTTAGACAAGAAATTGAAATTATGTTATGTCTGCCCTTATGTCTGATAAATTAAGGGATGTGTCAACATTGAGACAGTAATGCTAGACATTCCAGAACATTCTCTCGCACGTCTGGCTCGTCAAATATCTAGTAGTAGAACCCTACTAATCGGCAGTAGCTTGTGCTGAATTTCTGAAAATTGCGATTTCTTCTGTTCGTCGAATAACTGCAGTGTAAGGTTTATATAGTTTTGTTAGTTACGTTGATACCTTTACTTCTGATAATTGGAAGATTTTGAATAGGTTCGTTCAGTTATACAATTGCTTGGAGGTTGATTATTGAGCTTTAATTATTTGGTCTTAATTTTATGTTAATGCATTAATCGCTCAACATTCTGAGGTCTATTAATTCGAATTATTTAATAATTAAGTCATGAAAAGACTAGCTTCGTGCATCATATTATCATAGTTTTGTACACTTATTCCACATCAATTATTCGTCCATCTTATCGCCGAAGAATCAACGGATAAAGAATCATAGACTGAGTAGAATTGGTGCCGAAGACTCATGGGTAAAACTGTGTTGGTAAAATGTTATTATGTAGAAGTTTGATGTTCAGTGTGCCAATGCAAGAGGACGGAAATTCTCCATCAGAAATTCTGGATCGAGAATTATAATATATGCAGGATGCATATAAACTGGACCATTAAGAACTTACCAAAGTATGATTTTGGAATTTCAATTTGAGGTTTAGTTTCGCGGTTAAGGATTCAGAAACATGCATAATACAGTTGACAGTTGACCACTGCTGGATCAAATTGGGCGTGTAATAAGGCATTATTTATAATTCATTCTAGACAGACGACAGTGGAATGTGGATGAGTGGACACTGAACGTATTATCAGTATCAGTAAAATCACGATACCCTGATCATAGCATGCCTTCTGATGTCTGCGTTGCTCGACTTCATGCAGTCACAAGACTTATAGATCAGATTCCAAAAGGCGTATCAGACCATGCACTGGCTAAAGTTGTGGTTGCTAAATTTAAGACATGCACAGGGGAGGTCCACAAGGCCACATCAAGCTTCTCATTTTGATACAAACCCTCTAAAGCACTAATGATCGCTGAGCTTGTGATTAGCCTCTAGGTCGCCAGCTCTTTAGTCTTTGGCCTATGCTCTTTAGGGCTGATACTTTGGGTCACGTTATTTTTTGTCTTCAAACTTAATGAAATGTTCGCCATTTATTTGAAAGCAAACGCGAGTTTTCTTTCCACTTTTATTTTAACAGTTTGAATAGTCGAAAGAAAACGATATGTGAATGCTCCCTGATATAGCTAAGATAAACTTTCTTTATTGTTCAGTTTCCTCTGCCTGATCTGGTACGACTCAAAGAAGGGCAATTTACTTAATGATGTTTATGCCTCCAAGTCTAACACATTATATGTTTAGTTGTATTTGTAATTGTATATAAGCTGTTCTATCTGCAATTGATTTGTTAGCTTTAACCAATTTCGAAAAGAGCTTCAGGCATGGTCGAAATATAATTGTTGGACCGATCCCTAAATTATTCATGATTTCTATATAATATACATACACTGCAACCACGTCATCACCAGATGAACAAAATGTTTTATTACATTTCGATTTCAGCTCAACTCGTGCTTAGTTACAAGTCTATGCAGAAGCTGTTTAACCGTGAACTAATATAAAGCAACATTGGTACATCACTGCAACAGAACTATGGAGACGTATTTTCGGTGTCATACAGTGAGATAGCTGTCAACAGACAATGCAATGTCACAGTTCTGAAAACTTTAACTAGAAAACCTTTGCAGTGGAGCTGATTTAACGTTAATTGTGGTGGTTTACAGCTTGCGATGATATTATAAGTTACGATATCTCGACGTGTACTATACCAGGATACGTCGTGTATACACTATATAAGAGTATATATATAAGAGTTGTACGTCACAAATATTGCTTGTTCGGGACTGATGCCGCCCTCTTTGTGTACTTTGAGCACTTCCTTCCCAGCGGACTTTCACTTAGTTCCACAGTGCTCTGTACATAGTTCTTTGAAGTAAAAAGTGTTTCTAGTTATAAGTATTAAACTGCTTTCATTGAAGAAGCATCTAATGTCGGATAAGAACGATGGTTTAGCTAGGTTTGTAATCGTCCTGACTCCAGATTCTAGATGGGCTTATATATAGCTATATACATTGGCTCATTCCGTAAAATTCAGGGTTTCAACTTTCAGGCTCTGCCTAATCATTACTGTAGATCTTACATGTCATCGTCATAATTAGCGACTTCAATAGATTGGCTGCGGTGCCTTTTTCTCCAGCAACTTGTTACATATCCTGTAGATCATGAATCGCGATTTATGACTAATCCATCTTCCTGAAGATGATGAGTCATCGGAAGTCGGAACCAACTACCAACTCTAAGACTTACTCTGTAGATCAACCCGTAGCTGATATTTCCCCTCTCTATCATTTTGTTGACTTGTTACTTAGTGGCACTCCGCTCACAACATGTGTATGTAGTGAGTGCCACATGCTATCCCTCGATCTGCCACGTACAAAATCAAACCTTTAGCTTCTGTAGACAGGTCTTTATGAAATAAAGTGAATTTATTTTCGATTTTATCGCCGTTATGAGTTACATAAAATTGTACATTACGATACATAATATATGTGTCATGTGCATATCCTCGTCTAAAACAGGTCTATCAAAACGCTGCTCTTCCAGTGAAACGTGAGACAGCACCTGCCGATGAAGTGACCAAATCTGACCATTCACAATTGTATCGATTTATGTACTTGCCTTTGACTCGGAGAATTCCTGTGGTTCCTTGAATTCCACAACTCAAGCATGAAGCATTCTAAATTTAGGGATTCGGTATTTGAAGGCGTGGTGGGAGTCGTGGATTGTATGTATTAAATCATAGACCACCCTAGTCGAACTTTCATGCAGATTCCGAGATGTTTCAAATTGTTACAGGTTGGGTGGCCAAGAGAAGGTCCGCAGGAATTAAATGAATTGTATTCTGAGCTAAATTTAGAACTCCACTCCATTTGTGCAGTATGCATTGGCTTTGGTTGGTTATAAGTTTGCCATTTGTTAAACTGCAGTAATCTTAACTTCAGGGCGGGCTCCATTATCGGATTTTTACTCGAAAAATATTAATACCATGATTCAAGTGAAGTCTTCTGCCTGGAATATTGATCCTCCCACTCCCAGCACACTTTAGACTCAGCGCTGAGAATTTTCGAGAATAAAGTTGAGCTTCGAAAAATGATTGTTAATATTGTTATGCTTTGGTTCGTTATGCTACGGTTATTGCAAACATTTTACCGTAGCTCGGCGTGAACACATTTGTATAATTCATGACGATATATAGATTAAGATAACATTTGTTATCGTAGTAATTGTCACTGTAAGCTGGATGTGCTGTATATTAACAATATTATACGCGTTGACTTACAATTATGTCTAAAGTATTATTTGGTTTTCTATGAAGATAAAACTGCTGCACCAGTGAAACATGACAATGTCAGAAAAACAAAGTATTCCCTATTACTTTAAACTTTTAAAGTGATTAAATGTGGTGCAGTGTGTGATATGTTATTAATGTTTGTGGGACTCCCATTATTTGGATTTACAGCTCCAGATATCGGAAATTGCTTTAAACCCGTCTCAATTTGCTAAAAGTGCCGTAAGAACTATTGATTATACAGTATTTCATTTTCCATGGTCGAAACTATCAGATATTTGCCAAAACATTCGGTCACGGGATCAACAACTGTAGTATATTTATAGTTTCTCCGAATCGATGGCATCGTTCAATCTGTCAGATTAAACATTTTTGTGGCTATTTCTATTTTTAAATGATCCATGTCTTGGTAAACTGTGACTACCAGTTCCATCGAAAAACACGAACGTACAACTACAATTTATATATATATCGCTTGAGTACGCTTCTTTGTCACGTCAACTCAAATACACTTATAGTCAACAACAATTATACCCTTCACAACGTCGACATGGTTCTCACTTTTCCGTATGATGATTATCTTAAGTGATACAAATTATCTATAAACAATTCATATATAAATATTCCTCTCATCCACTAGCAAAACCTCTGTTTCAAAGCGGGAATTCGACCTCCTGAAGAAAAAGCAGTTTTGTAGCTACACTGAGAGTGCGGGATTGTATGCTCTGCTGGAAGGATTGCTGTAGAGCCAGCGAGACGTCCCAGTTCAACATGACCGGACAGTGGCAGCCGTAGGCAAACATGTGGTCTCAACTTGTTATACTTATTAGCCTTCTCCTCTTCTGCTTCATTTTCGGTGAGTCTTATTTGATGTCTATTAGTATTAAGGGGGCATACACCAAATCTGTCCAGACCAAATGACCTCATAGGCAGTTCAGTGACCTTCTAGCGCACCGTTTCCACACCAAAAAAAATTATTTTGAGAATTCCCATTTTTGTAATCGAGCATTTCCTGGTTAAGAGTGCAATTTTCGGAAAAAATTATTTTGTGGTTGAAACGCTATAAGTTAATCATTTCTTGCAGTATCGGGTTGAAATTTTGCTCGCCGTTTATTCACATCTATTTCAAGGTGTGTGTAAAATCTTGATATCGTATCTAAAAAGGCTGGTGTGTTATGAATTTTTAAAGTCAAAAAGCTAAAATTGTCCTTTTCAGGCTTATTTTAACAAAAAGTCAGTCAGGGAAGATCGGATTTTTTGATGCTTGACATCAAATTGTTCTCTGAATTCTGGCACAGTTTTTGATGCCCTCAAAAATGTTTTTACTCATTCACCTTCTGATCTATTGGACCTCAAAGCCAAACAACAAATTTAGGCACATTTTTCGTTTTTAATATTTACTGATTTTTCTAAAATTTTGATAGGAATGTGCTAGTGACTTTTTGAAGGGTGCAAAATAACCGCAACTAGCACATTTATATATGAGTTATGAACAACAAAACACCCTAAAATGCTTCCCTTTGAAGTTATGGGAGGAAATGTGATTTTTTATCTGCAAAGCCAAAAAATCACATTTCCTCCCATAACTTCAAAGCGAAGCATTTTAGGGTGTTTTGTTGTTCATAACTCATATATAAATGTGCTAGTTGCGGTTATTTTGCACCCTTCAAAAAGTCACTAGCACATTCCTATCAAAATTTTAGAAAAATCAGTAAATATTAAAAACGAAAAATGTGCCTAAATTTGTTGTTTGGCTTTGAGGTCCAATAGATCAGAAGGTGAATGAGTAAAAACATTTTTGAGGGCATCAAAAACTGCGCCAGAATTCAGAGAACAATTTGATGTCAAGCATCAAAAAATCCGATCTTCCCTGACTGACTTTTTGTTAAAATAAGCCTGAAAAGGACAATTTTAGCTTTTTGACTTTAAAAATTCATAACACACCAGCCTTTTTAGATACGATATCAAGATTTTACACACACCTTGAAATAGATGTGAATAAACGGCGAGCAAAATTTCAACCCGATACCGCAAGAAATGATTAACTTATAGCGTTTCAACCACAAAATAATTTTTTCCGAAAATTGCACTCTTAACCAGGAAATGCTCGATTACAAAAATGGGAATTCTCAAAATAATTTTTTTTGGTGTGGAAACGGTGCGCTAGAAGGTCACTGAACTGCCTATGAGGTCATTTGGTCTGGACGGCACAAACCACTGTTTTGGTGTATGCCCCCTTAAGTTGGTTTTATTTCTGCAAACATGGTTACTGGATTTATCAGAGTATGAAATTTGTAATTAGTTTTAGCGTTTTGTGCGATCAGTATTTATTCGAATGACGATCAATTGCTAAAGAAATTTGGTGCATCTGCAATAAGTACGCTAACCAAAATAGTTGCATAATGTAATTCCACTTTTCACATATTTGACGGCCACTTAAATATTTCATAATTTGTAATTGCACCGGTTTTTTGTCGGTTTTTTTTAGGGAGTGTGTCGTGTGATTAGAAAACTAATCGCAGTTCGCACTGTTTTGAGAGCAACTGAAAACACATTCGGTGCGCGATTGCAAAACTAATCGTACTGATATAAAATTAAAAGATACTGTTATACATTAATTGCAACACAATTATAATATACGAGGGCAAGTTTCTCACGGTGTTGGGGGCTTAACATCTGAGCAGCTTATCAGTAACCTTTTAATATAGCTCAATAATAAACTGTCGATTGTGAAATATTGAGCGATTCAGTACTCCGTAGTAATCTTACACGCGTGTTCGATGTCACGTGACAGACATAGGCCGATATAAAGGCTGTTCGCGCGCGTTCAGCTCACACGCGTGCGAGGCAGGGCTTCATTAACTTAATAAATTGGTTACATCTTATAGCTCAGATTTTAGTTTCTAGTTGTCAGAGCGCTATTTTAGGTTGTCGCAAATCACTCCGGGTTTTTCACCCGTTTTGGCTTTAAGCAGCACTATATTTTTCAAATTGCAGCATTTTCTTTCAAATTCACTTTCGCAGCCTCAGAACAAAATTAAAACTTCGCACTTTCGTCTTTCACATTTTAACGTACACATTTTCAAACGTGCTTGTTATTGAGTATTTATATTGTATTTGTACACCCCAATTACCCATAACCAATTAAAATTCAATTTTACCGGCGCTTGTAATCGGAATTAATAACATTAATATTTTATTATTATTAATCGTTAACAACATTTTTGCTCGCTCTAATTCTAACCATTGCATCATCTGTCAGGATCTCTCGCAGTTCCTGAAAACGATCTGGTCGATCCTTGGGAGATATTTAACAGACTTTCTTCTAAGTCCAATGGTGAGCTGACTAACTTTACTTAAATAATTATAGACTATACAAGGAAGGAGTATACTGTGCACTAGGTGCACTGTGCACTCAGCACTGTGCACTGTGTAGTGTGCACTGTAGTGTGCACTGTGTAGTGTGCCGCTCATATCCAGCAATTTTAAACTCTCGCCGTCACCTAGAATACTTTATATCTCTATACATTATATTACCAAAACCCATAATCATGGGTAGAGTGGACCGCTGCCAGTGTCTCTCTTTCCCAAACAAAAGGAAATGATATTAATTTGATTGACCGTTCTCAAATGCAAAATGATACCGAGAATGAAATCGGTCGCTCAACGGCACTCTAAAGTTGACAGAAAATGACGAAAACAGCAATTTTCAGTGATTTTAGCAATTTTCTATCAATTTGGGCGTGTCCCCACGTGTGCAACTTTTCGATTTTCAACTTTAAAACTAGCCTAATGCTCAATTTATATCTATAGGAAGCAGAACTGAGCTCCACAACCCAAGGCATGGCCCAACACCAGAGAATACTAAATCGCAAAATTGACGTTTTTATAAAATAATTCTTCAAAAAAGCACAAACTTCAATGACGAATATCTTTATGAAGGAGCAAGCTAGAAAAACTTTCCGGTAGATTTTCAGAATGCTTGAACAATTATCTAAGGTGAAAATTTCCTCAGATTTTGAATACAATTACTCCTTAATGGTGTAAAATCATTTTTAAAAGTTATTACTTTGTCAAAAATCAAGTTTTAAAAACGGTTAACTTGATGACGTCATCAAGGGGTGTTTATGACGTCAAATAATTTGTTTATACAATGTAAACTAAAGTGTAAACAATTATTTTCAAGACCTGTGGTCGGAAATAGCTGTATCTTTTATACTTTTGAATCTTTGGACAATTAAATACAGGCTACAATTGACTGGCAAAGCGTCTATCCCTGAATATATATGTATCACAGTGCTGGCAAGCACGAGCGTTGTCTGTCGTAAAACAGGGGTTCTAGAAAACCCACTTCCCGATGTTCCTGAAACCTGAAACTTTTTTTGCAGTCGATTTGGTCAACGTCTAGACGCCCTGAAAAATTTCAGATCTCTAACTCGATTTTAACATGGTTTTTAAGGCACCTGAATATGGCGATTTTGGGTTTTTTACCGAATTTCGTATAACAGTGCTGGCGAGTATTTTATGCAAATTTCTTAAAAATCTCAACATAACTATTTTTTATTCCTGTCATCTTTGACATCAAATTAGAATGTTTTGAACTAAAAATAAATCTGTTGAACGACTTCCGATGAGTCTTAATGCCTGAAAAACTCCTGCCGAAGTGCACGCTTCGCGTGCACGAAAGAGGCTTGTAAAGTTGTAACGTGTACCAAAGGGGGTATAATAGAAAAGGGGGTATAATAGTAAAGGGGGTACATAGTATACCCACAATAAATGCACCGGTCGTGCTTGCCAGCACTGTGATATTACCAAGTTCACTACACCATGGCTTAGCTTTAATCTGAATTTTCATATAACTTTTTTTTAAATTTTCACGACGCCAACATTTTGCTAAAAATTGCAGGATCATTTGTGTCGTGGGAGGAGGTAGAAAACGCTCGCACTCTGATCGACAATCCTGTTTATAATGGTAAGTTAATTACATTACAATCGTCTGCAGATAATGATAATTGAAATTGAAAAGTCTCGCATGAACGAAATAAAATTACAGTTCCGCTTCGATCAGGTAGTGGAGCTACAATTTATAGGTATTGAATTTTTGGATACAACCGAAAAATCTATGGGCCGCATGGTTTTCGAATTCGATTAAGATTTGATTGAATTTTCATCCAATTTTTGATTCACGGACACCATCCGAGTAATTAATCTAATCCCCAGAGTTTTATACTAAATAACCTTAATAAATCAATCTCCTGAAGAGACTGGCAGTGATGATGGAGAGAAAGTTACTTTCCCTGATTTCATGTTAAATCCTGACAGCTGGGAGATGGGGAGCCGTGTTGTGGATGCTATAATACGTGACAACACCGCCACTAAGGTACCAGCACGTGCATCACTAACACGTGCAACACTAACACGTGCATCACTAACACTACTTCTCATTATCATAAACATCGACATATTTTATTAAAAACATTTATAAATTTAGAATGTAAAATAACGATTTATTATAACAAAAAGTATACCATGTCCATTATCGTCTCTTATAAAACTCGGCCAAAATAACAGAAAACACAAAAATTAAACCCACATTAAACAAGCTCTGTATGTTTGCAGAGTAGTTAATCAATTAATTAATTATGCAGAGTAGTGTGGGTGCAGTTTACCCGGGGCTGATGGAGCTGTTGAGGATCAAGGTGAAAGTGCAGTGTTCCGGACGAGACTGTGATCACAACATCGACCTGGTAACCAGCTCTACCGGCCACTTTATCACTCTGCCTCTCTTCGGCAGAACACACGTGATCATCACTATCATTCTCTCCCAGGTTTTATTTCTGTTTTTATAGACCTCCTTTGTAATGTTTTTTGCTATATTGGGTTTTTTTAAGCACGAATTTATCATTACGAATATGTACTCTGCAGTTTTTATGATTCGGCAGACGCTTTCCGCCGCATAATTCTGATATTGTTGATGATAATTTAATATAGATAGTATCCATTAATATAGATATTATTTCATTCCTATTTATTTCAGGAATTTGAAGTTCATCAAATGGAATTGAACCTCATGACTCAAAACCATAAATATCACTTCAAAGTGCGTCAGAGGTCTTCGAAAGGAAAAAGAACCATGTTTGAAATTTCCAACAAATTATCAGTTTGCGGCGTTGATTTCGACAGTAACATACGGTGAGAAATATGAAATTTACATTTAAATTTAAGGTACATCACACCAAATATGTACTCAACCATTTTACAAATTACATAGAAATTTAAGGATGCATGTTTTCGCAAGGAAATTCAATTTCATCTGAAAAACAGTGGCTCTAATCTCTACTAATATAATAATAAGAATAGGATTATGGCCACATAGCCATCACGACAAAACTTAAAACCCAACTGCACTTTACGCTATTGCAGTTCGCACAATATTTTCAAAAAAACTAATACAAATTTATAACATATTGCCTCCAACACCCAGGGATCTCTGCAGAGAAAAGTCAAGTTTCCAGTACGGTGGAGACGAGCCCAGTAGATTGGATTTCGGGGCAGACCAGGGCACCACCTCAGTCTCCCAGTGGGTCAACACTCGTGCTCTGGAGATTGTCCTGCTACCTGTTTCCGGGGGACCTGTTAGTTTTTTACAAGTTCTGCTGTCGTAACTATATGTGTTATGTTTCTGCTTGATGTTTTTTCTCTTGTCGTGTCAGTCGTTTAGATGAGTTAGATCATACTTACACACTGCTCTTCTGTGCACGGTTCATTTCTCTACTCTTCCTATTTCAACTTGCAAGTAGTAGTACTACTTGTATTTTCTGCTCGACAGTTTATACATCGCTACTATTTTTACTGCGACTGTTGACAAATGTCAAATATTCCCTCACTCCGCGGCAATTTTGTTAATTATCAAGTGTACCGCGTTGGCCGTTCCTATTGACATAAATAAATAACAAACTTTTTTCGCCATTAGTCTGTTTTTCTTTATTTAGACATATCTAAAGTACGTTTATTATACTGATTTAATTTCAGACGGTATACGGTATTAACAACTTGAAGCTCTTTGGTCGGTGTATCTGTAACGGTCATGGCAGCGAGTGCAGCCTTGTTGGTTCTGAGTGAGTTTTATTTGTCACTTCTCTTAATCCTGATATCAATATTATCTTGAGATTGTTTGTGAGGTATTATTTAATTGATCATCGTAGTGATATTCGTTTTATATTATTAGTTATGAATCGTCTAGCTGACTTATCCAAAATGAACAGTAATAAAATCTCCAAGAAGACGCTCACATCTACAGAAACATAGCTACTTGTAGTTAGCTTATAAATATAAGCTAACTACAAGTAGTTAACAACTATAAATAGTATTATAAATTGTTTTCCCACCAGGTATCACTGCACGTGCCAGGGTAACACGTGCGGATCCAGCTGCGAGAGTTGCTGTCCCAAGTATAACGCTTACCCCTGGGAGCCGGCCAACTCAACCGACCCTAACTCCTGCACAGGTAATACATAATACTCACGTAGAATCAGCAGAGTGCAAACTGCAAATGTTATTTTACTGATTTTAGAAAGAAACAACTTATCAAGATAAGTAATATGCGTGTTGTAATTTATTTAAGTTGTCATTGCTCGCGGATGACTTGTTAAATTATCATGTCCCTTAACACAACTTTATAACTTACTCATAAATATCTCCTGACAGAGTGTTTGTGTTACGGCAAGGCGAGTTCCTGTCACTACGAGCGGAGTATCGAGACCCAATACCGGTCCTACATCTCGGAGACACAACGAGGAGGAGGGGGTGTCTGTGATGGGTGCACCGGAGACTCAGCCGGCATCAACTGTGAGACCTGTAAACCTCGCTTCTACCGGCCTGCCAACCTCACTGCCTGGGCTCCCTTTCCCTGCATAGGTCAGACTAGAATTAGAGACCACCAGATCCATTCCTCCCACGATACTAACACTTAATTAATTGCCTCAAAAGACAAATTCCATTCCGCTCAATTTCGATAAGTTATACCGTGGTCGAAAGCAGTCTATATATAAATTGCCGATAATACCTAAGTAAATACCAATTAACGGCAAAGTAACGGGACGGGGGACCAGCACGACTTGGTACGGACTACAGCTAACAAGACATTCTCCCCCACTAACATAACATTCTCCCCCAGCGTGCGATTGCCATATGCGAGGTGTAGTCCGGATGGAGGGCTGGCCGGACGGGGACTGTGTGAAAGATAGCAGTTTTAGCAACATCCAGGGCAAGCCCATGACGGCAGGACAGTGTTTTTGTAGGGAAGGCTGGACTGGGAGAAGGTGTGATGTTTGCTCAGATGGGTGGTATCTGAGTGGGGGAGAGTGTTCCCCCTGCGAGTGCTCGGTTCTGGGCTCTGTATCTGAGACATGTGACCAGGACTCGGGAGAGTGCGAGTGCAGGGTTGGGTACAGAGGGAGGACGTGCGGCCAGTGTACAGAAAGGAAGTTCAGCTTCCCCAAGTGTACTGAGAGTTGCAGTGAGAACCGGGCCGGAGTGCGCTGTGAAACCTGTTTGGACGGATTCTATTTGGTTTGTTTTCCTTAAAACTTTCAAGTCTTTTTCCTCATGTTATATAATTCGGATTATATTAATGGGATAATGTTAGGAATAATGCCTGACATTTGCCATGTTTCTTAAATCAGAATAGAGATACTAGATACTAGATGTTGGAGATGACAGTATAACAACTAATAATCCTACAGGACGGTGGACAGTGCAGAGCTTGCAAGTGTTCTCCCCACAGCTCGTGTGACAGGAGTACAGGAGCCTGCTCCTGTCTGGACGGTTATGTTGGACCCTCCTGTGACTCCTGTGTCTCTGAGCTACTCCCCTACCCTGACTGCAGGAACTGCTCCTGTAATCATTTCGGTACTAAAGCTGGATGTGTCAACTGCCAGTGCAAGGTCTGTTTTTCGGGAGTGTGCCTGTTTATGATATTTGAACTTGTGTTCGTAGCAACAGTTGATTGATAATGATACTGAAAGCGTTAAAGTTAGTCACATAACGTGTTTCAATATTTACTAACTTAAGAATTTGTATAGTTATAAGGTTCAGAAATTTCTGGTTATACAATACATGTTTTGAGAGTATATTCAGTAAAATCAACGTTACAAACCACAGGATTTTGTAGAAGGATCACAATGTGATGGATGTAAAGCCGGGCACTTTGCCTTATCTCCTGTCCACGAAACAGGATGTCTTCCCTGCTTTTGCTCCCACGTTTCAGCTCAGTGTTCACCAGCTGTTACAGCCTCTTCCTTCGTCTCCTCTCTCTTCGACTATACTGCAGACGGGTTGGTCATTACTTTCTATGCATTTGGTGACTGACATACTGAGTTAAGGGTTGACAGGGCTGTATTTTTGAAATGTAATTCAGGCGAGTCTGCGGATTGGTTCGTTGTGAAACATTATCGGCAACTGTGAAAATATAAACTTAAGGCTTATAAACAATAAACGTCGCGGTAATATCTTTTATTTAGTCGCTAAACCTCATCAATCTCCGACCTATTTGAGTATCATGACACAATTAGATATCGGGATAGAAAACATAAAAACTGGCTAACCTTTAAAGTTTAAGTTAAGAATGAGTTAAACTGTTTAACTCATTCTTTAGATACTACTGTAGATAAATAAATTTCCCAACCTAACTCCTTTAATCGACCCCTACAGGTGGGAGCTAACAGGTGGTTCTAGAACTTCTGCCTCGCCCTCCTCCTCTGTCGGGAGCTCCACGTCAGGGATTTTTCTCTCTACACGGGTGTTCTCTCCAACTTCTCTTCTCCAGTATTCTTCTCGGCTCCCCCCAAGTTTCTAGGGAACAGAGCCGCGAGTTATGGGGGTTACCTGAACTTCTCCTACAGTGCTAACTTCATCCAGCAACACAGAGCAAATGATAGTCTACACGTATGGCTCGTGGTAAGGAACTCATCTTCATTCTTGATTGAGGATAAAACCCCACAAAATATTGTGTTGCTAATTTTGGGGACAAGATCATTCGAGGATGATCCAGGCTTCGGTCAAGTGCTTTGGCAATGCTTTATAATATATTTAACCTGTTAACACGATGTAACCTTAAAACCTCAACTCGCGTCGCAGGGCAAGGAAACTGCCGTGAAGCACCTCGTTCGTGGACAGATGAAGAGCAACAAGCTTTACACAATTAGAATACCCCTTCTTGAGGTTAATGAAATTTTGCATCTGATGACGACATATTGATCATATATTGGGACAATCTTATGAACTTCCAAATCTATCGAGAATTACAACAGTCTGTTTCCTCGACTCACAGTTACCATTTTATTTTTATTGTTACGAAGAATTTATGCTATGTCTATTACAGAGTATGTGGGAGTCTAGAGAAGACCAATTACAGAGAAGTAGCTTCATGGATATCCTGGTGGATCTTAGAGCAATTCTTATAAGTGCTTCCTTCGCTTCCCCGTCCAAATTCACCAGGTTTAACTAATACCTATATAACTAGCAAGATTAAACTGTATGAGCATCAGCATTTGGAATGAAACATCTTCGTTGGTTATGAAAAAGAATGCAAACTTTTTTGCGAACTTACCATTAATAATTTTCACCTCAGGTTGCGATCCCCGTCGCTGACAACGCGAACTCTTCTTACCCCTCTGAGAGCTCTAGTTAAAAGTATCCCTCCTTCCCAATTTGTAGAGCAGTGCGTTTGTCCTTTCGGGTATATCGGTTCCTCGTGCGAGGTAAAGGGCACTGCTTCAAATTGTCATGCTATTATAATATTTATTCACCAAAATGGTGCTGATTCTGGTATAAATTTCCCGGGTTAACTGATCCCCTCCCCTGATAGAAACGATAATTTAGCCGGTTTACGGACTTCATTTAGACTTTGACACCTTCCCTTCCGCACCCTGAACTAACCCTACCTCTTTCCTTAGAACTGTATTGACGGATACTTCAAGAGCGGGAAAATATGTCAGAAATGCAGCTGTAATTCACGGGCTAATCTATGTGATGACTCTGGCAATTGTTTGGTACGATTAGTGCAGTAGACTAATTATTCTTGATTACTTTAACAATGTGAAAGAGAGATTTCTTTGAGATGATGCAATGCCGACACAACTTGTGAGGTCACTCGGAAGTCAGAAAAAAGTCCCCTCTGGGATTGCCTAAAATTCACTTGGACTCTAAATTTCTGTGATATCCATAAACTTATAAAGTATTATTAAACAATCACCAATTAGTAGATCCCCAATATTCGATCCTCCAAATCACCAGGGATGCAGTGAAGGAACGACAGGGCCCCATTGTGAGACGTGTCTACCAGGATACTACCAGGTCTCCCCCTTCTCCTGCTCCAAGTGTCCTTGTCCTCGCCACGGGTCTGTATCTTAACTCACTTTTATTAAATACTTTTCAAATTTTACAGAGTACAGCAATAGATGAATATAAAATAGAATTGTTCAAAATATCCCCCCCCCCAATCTGTAAAATATGATGGGCACCCAAACACGGTAAACACATAGTGAACTATGTCCGCAGTAACTTGGACCCATTATTTTACTAACAGGCTACACTATAAAAACTGTGGGGATTTGATTTTGTAACCCCTAGATTTATAACTTATATTATGAAATGTCAAGTAACATAATTTGAAAGTTCCCTAAATCAGGGTGTTGATCACAGGAGGTGACCGGGACATGATTTTAGGCCTGACCGGGACCGGGACCGGGATACAAAATGTGACTTGACCGGGACCGGGACCGGGACTGAGATTATCAATTTACCGTGACCGGGACCAATAATTTCTGGGATTTCTATCTTACCGGGACCGGGACCGGGACCAACAATCCAATTTTACCGGGATGACCGGGATGACCGGGATATGACCGGGATGACCGGGATGACCGGGACCAAAACTGGTATTCTCATATTGAAAGCTGCAACTTTCATTTACATTATAATTGAACAATTTGAATAAGTAATAACTAGAATATTAAATTAGAAAAAACTAGAAAAAACCCGTCAATATGGGGCATGGGCCTAATGTACTACACCAATAATGTTCATGTACTGATTACTCAAGTTCACCCTCATTCCTCATTCCTCAATCAATGATCCCTCAAATTATTCAACAGTTTCATTCTCCAATTCCGATTGACAATTGGGCGTAGCCCGAGTTGAAAACTTGATGTTAGTTTGCACTTATGAGTTATGTAACGATATTAGTTACCTAAACTTGTTTAGCAATTTAAACATTGTTTTATTTGGCTCAGAGGTTGTTTAAAGATGAAATTCACAATGAATGAAAGTAAAAACTTAAAATCACAGTGAATGAAATTATGTAAACATTAATGAATACAACTTTTCCATACCTCAACCTTAACTTAATACGAAGATTATTTATAAGCGTTTTATAAAAGGTGATGGTTTTGTCTCCACAGGTCGTGTATGATAGACAAGGAGGGTGAGGTGCGGTGTAGCAAGTGTCTGCCTGGTGTTACTGGTAATCTCTGTGACAGGTAAAGTTATAAGATTCAACATGTTGTGTATCAACATGCTTATCAACATGCTTATCAACATCTTTGTCAACACCAATCATTAGCTTTAGATAAATTATAGTTGATTTTGCGTTTAAAATAGTATCGTTGTAATTGGATATTGTCAACACACTAGAACCTAATTGATAATTACTCGTTGCTAATTAATAATTACTCATTCTAATCGATAATTACTCGTTGCTAATTAATAATTACTCATTCTAATCGATAATTACTCGTTGCTAATTAATAATGACTGATTCTAATCGATAATTACTCGTTGCTAATTAATAATTACTCATTCTAATCGATAATTACTCGTTGCTAATTAATAATTACTCATTCTAATTGATAATTACTCGTTATCAGGTGTATGAAAGGGTATTATGGAACTCCTGAGTTGGGGTGCAGGAAATGTCGTTGTAATGACAACCTGGATATGTCGCGTGAGACACCATGTGACCAGCAAACAGGACGATGTCTTGCGTACGTATTTTAAACACATAGCAGTTGGCAGTTACTACTTAATGGTAGTAGGTACTACTATAGTCCATATCCATACGGCAATCCTAACGGAAGTTAACTGGTACTTCGCCAGAGAAACAGGGTTAAAATTTCGGCTGGGATTTACTTTTTGAATAATTCCATAGCGATAGAAATATTAAATTTCTGTTAAACATTTCTTGAAAATGATGGATTCTGAGTTTTAGAGGTCGTCATGACCACTATAGAATCCTCAGCGGGTTGCTTGTAACGCTTTGTACCACAGGGCGTTACACAGTTTCACTTGTTACCTAGAATTTACCTATTATTACCATTACAGGTGCGTGGAAGGTACCGGGGGAGCCTTCTGTGAGAGATGCTCAACTGACTACTGGTCACCTAGTCCTGGTAGAGACTGTCAGCGTGAGTTTCAATCAATGTTTTTAACAACACTTTTAATTCGATACAATCCTTTAACTCTTCCACATTCACTTCCACTTTCGGTGGATCGCTTCCATGTGAATATAGGTAAATTAAAGCTCATATCATATCATATCATATCATATCAAGTAACATATAAGTTTAAAAACATACACACGATTCAAAGTGAGACCGATTGAACGAAATTATTTAAATTTGGGCAAATTTTTAATACTTAGTTAGAAATTGACAGGGTACCGGACCCGAATATTTTAGACGTAATAATCGTCGAACTAAAATCACTTAGTTATTTTCATGGCATGATAGAAAACGTGACATTTCTCACATTTTTTGTTCTTATATATATATATTGGTAAACCAGACCTGCAGAAGCCAGGGGAACGGCCCTGGCTTGTCTATTGCTACAATTTACAAGACTTAATCGCAACACAGTCAGATTATCAGGAACTAACTTGCGCCGTCGACAGTTTTCATTTCAGCTCGCGAAATTGCGAAAAAGGGATAAATATTATATCCGGCTAACATATTTTCTGAAAACATTTTAAGTCGTAAAGCTGATAAACTTAGCGTCTACACTCTACAGTTGTGTTTATACAACTGCAAATACCCTCATTCCCTTTCTAATCGAACTTAGTCAAACTAGTGCAGTTTGACAACTTAATTTCTGCGACGCACCAAATGGAAATGATAAAATTATACTATGGGATATTTTTAGAAAATTCAATACCTTGTTAAATGTATATTTTATTCCATTGAATCATTATTTATGTAATTTTCGAGTCTTCTAAGGAGTAACTGGATATCTTATCAGTTGATTTTTAGGCAGTTCTAAAGTACATAATATATTGATTTCTGCTCCCTATTAGATTAATTTCACACCAAAGGCTTCATTTTAATTAACTTGGTAAATTTCATTCATAAAATTTAAGCTTTTGGATTTGCCGACATAATTACCTTACGAGACATATTTATGTTCAACATAATTCCGATGACCTAAATGATTTGGGAACGAAAATATGGGAATTTTTTACCGAAAACCGTCATATTTCGTACCCCAAATTAAATCATGGTAATTTTGGCAATCGATAAATTTTGTCCACATAATTTTAGCCTTCGGCTTTTGACAGAATATTATGTAATGTTCGGGAAATATTTCAAGCAGCGTTTGTCAAAATCAAAACTACTGAAATTTCAAGAAGATTTTAAGGACGTGTGTTCTCAATTACATATAACGAGTTTTCCGAGTGCTTAGCTTTAAAGTAATTGTCTGTCAGGTTGCGAGTGTCCCGTAGGACGAAGACAGCTGGTGCCGTGTAATCCTAGAACTGGAGATTGTTATTGTAAACCTGGCTACACTGGTCGGAATTGCAGCTCCTGTCAGGTAATTAGACTAATTACTTGTTAATTATGGTAATTACTTGTTTATTATGATTATTATGAAATATGATCCTCCTACTTGTCAATTGAGCACTTTTTTGGAACCAAGCAACAACTCATTAGTAATTATGATAATTGTATTGTTGTTGCTGTTGTTGTTCCTATGTACGTGATTTCCATTATATTTTAAATTAATGATGTTTAAAAATTTGGCCCGATTTGAAGTTTCCGTATCACTATCAAATATAAAAAATTGCAGTTTCGATTCGAATAAGGAATTAATAAAGCACAATTTGAAAAGGTTTCACATCATTACATAGGGTAGCTCGTTTAAATTTAGAACAATTTAGAGTCACACAGGCTTTCTGTTGAGGATCACTCATTTGGAGATCTAAACTTGTTCGACTCCATAAACAAGTCAAATATTAATTAATTGCCTAACATTCTAAAATCAAATATAAGACAAGAAGGGGCCAACAGAGTAGACATCTAGAGCACAGCTGTTATCATTAGGAATAACTTTACTCAGTAATCAGTGACGTTCCACGAAGTCCCGTGTAATTTCTCTCCCTCTGAATAACAGAAGACTGTCCGCCGCCGGTCACAGCGGCGACATACTAAACTTGAAACTTCGGTTCCCATTCCTTTCAAGGGATTCAAAAAATGATGACCTCACTAAAAAGGGGGTGTCTCACAGCAAAAAATGTAGCACTTTATGTTTAATAACTGAAACTGGAGGATCTACAAACGGTGTTGGTTCTATATCATAGTCACCGAGTGCTAGCCGTTGAGTGTGCCGTGGAGTGCCGTGGAGTGCTAACCGTGGAGTGAAGCACTCTGCGACTGGATTATTCCAGCACGTTAGCACTCATTGTTGGATCAATTAGAAGCACAATCGATTGTTTAAGTAGTGTTCAATTACGGGGTGAATTACGATAAGAGTTACAGGAACTTTTATTTGAATAATCTAATGACTTCGAAAATTTTGTAATATAACGGACAAGACATTTTACACTGTTGACTCCGGCGATGATTATTTAATTTTAAAAGCGTTTTTCTTATTTTTGATACATTATACCCAGCCCGGTTGTAATATTATATTCATATCAATTTTATAAATAGCCAATGCTTGGCACCAAACGCCCTCAACTCCATAATTATGGGAAGACATTCCATCACCTATCTTTCGACCCTCACAGAAAAAAAGCAAATTCGTTTTCAAAGTTGAAGTTACTTTAAAACGATGGAATTTTGTCCTTTGGGAGTCTAGCCCGCTATTAAAGTATCAGCTGAGTCGCTGAACTTACTCCCTCTTTGAAACCCTTTGTAATTATAAATTGTTTGTCTGTAAATATGCATTAGTAAAGTAAATTCACATCTTCAACACATCCGGCGAGACATGGCATTATTTTTACTATTTTCCAAAGTCTGGCTTTGATCATTGTCAATAATGACAGTCTAATGAACAGAAATAGCCATTTTAACAGTTGCGATAAAAAATGGGATAGCTCTAATTGTTTGGCAGACATCTTAAACGTTGTAGGTAAAGAACAACGTACACAAATTTAAAATTTGTGAACTAAGTTAGTTCGTCCTGTATGTGTTATCTGGATACCTGAGGTTGGTTGTGATGGAAGGCACGGTAAAAGGACTTTATCAGTCTTTGACAAATTGCTGGTCACCATTGTCAGATTGGTGATTGGTCATGCTATTGTTAGATTTTCATTGTTCATAATCCATAATAATATCTCCCAAACGTTTGATCACAGTTCACAAAGCAGGTTAGAGTGTTCTCGAGATATGCGAATTATTTGATCCTTTATCTAAAGGTTAATGCAGTCTACCTATTGGGTGTGGGATATCTTATCCCATTGGATTGGTTCTAATCAGCTGTTCCCGTCATTATTGGCGTGCCTGAATAATGCTGCGATACATTGCATTTGTCGATGCCGATTAGCGTGGTTAAAAAACCAACTTCTTCCAATTTTACTCAGTGGTTTAAAACCCCTATAATGTTTTGGTCAAACTCGTCTGGGAAAGCGAGCCACAAACCAAGACCTTATTTCTTGGGGCGCTTATGTAGTGTATACAGGTAAAATGTTTAAATCGCCGTTTTAAACCTTAAAACGTTGAGAGAGCATCCAAAAGTAAGTTAGTCAAGGTCTCATGTCACATGCCACATGTTCGTAGGCTAAAGATTCTGGTCACATGACACTGATTGAGTTCACATGACAATTGAGTACATAGTATGGGAAATTGGGAATCCAGGGTGTAAATTGGGGTCCCAATCAATTAGTAAGGAATTTATACCTCAATGTTCTTGATGATGAGGAATCAGTAAGTTGGTATAAATCACCACAAGAAGGACTTGGAATCATCAGTCGATTTATATGTTTATCAAATACCACCGTGCCCATCAGACATGATTACCGATCCGTAAAACGATTTGTATTGATTGTAAATGTAGTTACTTTCAGCCTGAAGATATGTGTTTTACTATATTGGAATCCATCGTTCAAATAAAAAGCCAGACAATACCATCTGTCGATCCGTGGCCAGTGTCCATATCCTACAGCTCTGTAGGGATGTCAGTTATTCAATAAGCTTTCGTAAGGCTAAGAAATCGGACAACTCTCATAAGCCCTCCTCAGGGCTAATTTCTGTATTTCTATGGTACCCACATCCTCTAATTTAAGCAGCGAAATAAGGACTAGAAAATAGGGCATAGCTCCCGCAGGAGCCTTTACACTTTGGCCCCTAATTCTGGGTGGTATGAGTTCCTTGTCTGCACAGAATGATTGATAGGATGAGTTAAAGATCACATGTCACAGGCTCACTCAACAACAAATATGGATAGATTTGTCTACAGTATTGTCTAGAGTCACCAATGTCTCCTCAAAACACCCCCTAAGCCCCAGTATTGACCGCTTAGTGCTACAGTTTTAGGGACTCTCACTTACTAGATACCGGGCTTTGCCCTGAGGTTTTAAAAATGAAGTGTCTGGTTTCTTCAATTTTCAACTCTATTTGCGTAAGATATTTTGAGGGACTCTTTTTTATTAATATTCGACCAACGGAGCGGAACCATCACGGTGTCGTATATCCTTGTGATAACTGCACCGAGCTTTCATAATTTCGAAAAATCCATATTAACGTAAGTTAGAAATAACATTTGCAAGGTACTTTGTAGGTTTGTATCAGAAAGCCCAACAAATGTAAAAATCTTATTAAGGTTTTAAGTTATTTAAATTTTGGAAAATTATGCGCGAACTGCGATAGCATGTGTTTGGAAGTTTTCCTAATCTGATATTAACATCTAGCAGATAATGAGTTGATACGTTGATAGAGTAAATGTTAAAATAATTCGAATCAAATATATTAATTATGTAAGAATGATCAAGTAATGGGCCGAAATTTACCAAATTTGGTATACGTATATAGTACCCGAGCATTAAATTTTGAGATTTCGGATTAAAATTAGCTATTTTTGTAAAACTTAAAAGGGGTCGATGTCTCATACTCTACTACCAAGAAAACATAACAAATTATCCGAGTATAAATATCCTGGCCTATCTGGGGAACTTGTACAAATGCACAGTCACAGGTGCACTTCGTTACAGAACCCAATCAACATAAACCATCGGATCACATAGTCAAATATGACGTGATCTCTCATCTCACCCGGGCGTGAGACCACACGACCGTCCACAGACTTTACCTGTATAACCGATATTGAAAGTATCCAGTACTTCACATAACGGCCGACATCATTGCAAAAAAGGAGCCCGGTTTGATCAGCATAAAAAGTGTAATTACCGGACTTAATACCTTCTCAATGATCCTTTGTCGTCTTTGTTTTATTTAAGCCAGCACGGAGCAACTAGCCCTGGGGCTGGGTTCTCACTTCTCTCTCTCAAACAATGCTGACGCCCCAGTTCTCACGACTTTGTCCGTTTTTTTACGCAGATTCACCACCATATGTTGGTCCTGAGGTCGGTAGCGAACATGTCGTCTCTCAAGTTGGCTACTCCGAACGCCAACTATCTCGCAGCGATAACCACAATTTGGCTCGTATGGTGGGGTGTTCTAGTCTTAAAGACTTTTTCTTGTTACATGTTTCGTAATAAAATGTGTTTAATATAAGTGTTAACAAATCAATATTCAATACTTTCTTAATGTTTTCTAAAGATTTCATGATTTATGTAATATATTGTTGAGTCTGGTCTGGGTTTTGCAATCATGTGAATTCTGGACCGATGTTTGTGATCCTGCACTTTTGCTGAGCTCTTGTAATAACTACCTCTTTGCACCGCAAGCCTTCAGATGCCCGCATCTTATTCCGGGTGAACCTAGACGGTACTGAATTCCAATTTGAAATGTGCATACCTTATTTATATCATTTTATGTCACACAATCAGAGGACAAGGTAGTTAAATCTAATTAGATTTCCGTTATTCATGCTTCTCAAATACTTATTCCGTGTATTATACTTAACAGCCCCATCATTTTTACAGCTGATGTCAGCTCTTTGAGCCTCCTCATATTGAGCGCGCTACAGACTTTGTACTTTCTCACACGTTTTAAATCGTCCTTCTTTTATATGATCAATTTAAGTTAGTTAATGTAACGCAATTGTGCCGTGCAAGGCAGTTCCACTCTCCTTTCCCCCTTCGCTGCTGACGTGAAAAGAACTTAAAAATGATGCTTGACTGCCCCCCACTGATCAGCAGCAGCAGAAATGATTCGCCGAATAATATGTAATGTGCTAAAAGCGCGAAACTTCGTTATTGTGTCAACTATAATAGTTTGCCGCCGTTATTTCCCCAGACAAGCAGCTGGATACAGCGGATATTAGTGTATCTCAGGAGGACAAAGAGGCCCGGAGATAATTTAATTACGATATTGTCAGTCCTGTGCCTGGGACGGAGCGACACTTGTCCGGAGCAGAACTACACTTTTTAACAACGTGCACACTTCGCATTCCTAGCTCCGCTGCAGACACAC